CTTCCCGGATGCTCCTCTTAAGTGTAACCGTTGCAAGGACAATACCGTTCAAGAATGATATTATATATTTAGTCTATAACAAGGTGGCAGCAAGTAAATGGCAGTAAATGTCGCCAAGTTACAAAATATGCAGCGACAGCGGACTAGACGTTCGAGCAGAATTAGAAGAAAAATTGATTTTATTTTCACTTTTATTCGAAGACAACTTGGAAGATACTCCATTCCCTCGAAAAAAAAAAGTTGGTGACCTTAGTGTTCCTGACGCTTCCACTTGGAGCCAAAAATCTGGCAGCAAGTGATGTCCCTCTTAAAAGCAAACGACTTCTGCTGGAAGCAGTTTTTTCTATCTCTAAAAATAAACGAGTTATTCAGGTGGTCTGTTTTAAGTATCTTGTCCAATATAGGCCAGTTGTCATAGGCTGGTTTCTTCGCGGTTGTTGGCCATGCCGCCCCCTTCTAATTTTATGGAGCACGGAGGATGCTTGATGCTTGGGTCGCGATATTCTACGTTTAAAATTGTTGATGCTTAGACAGATATTTACTATTAAAAGTCTTGTTAGTACCGAAGAAAGTATGCTTTTCTCGCACGCTGATCTTTCAAAGTTACAGCATCGAATAAATTAAAATTTTTTTCGATAAAAAATTGTTGTTATTTCCGGTTGGAAAATATGTACACTGTAATAACGTTAATGCGTTGTTTTCTTCGAGCCGATAAGTATCTCGATGCTTATGGACGGTAGTGTAAATGAGGTGACAAGAAATATCTGTGCGAGCAATTCTCGTAATGGCGAGGGAAAGAAAAGTACCACTTAAGACTTAATTCGACCCATAACATAGCTCGTGGATTATGACTTACGTATACGCGTGCGTATATGTAAGTCATCGGTAGCAGACTAATCGTCATCATTGTTCGTTTGTTCGTCGTCGTAGTGTTGAAATTAAGGTTAACCGAAGGAAAGGGGAACTGAAGAGTATCGAGGGTTATGGTGGGAGGTGTGGTGAGGGTCTAAATTGATTTGCTGGAATTGATGTACAAAAAGGTCTTTCATGGCCGTCGATTATCTTCCCCCCCGCGGTTTCCGACGATTATCCAATACTGGTCTTGTAAGAGGTGCAAAATCTTGACACCGTCACGATATTTAAACAGTGCGTCGCAGAAGCGAATATTTCCTCACCTTCGAACAATTTGTAACAGTGCAACGATTCGATCCTGTCGACAAAACTTTTATCGCCTCGCGCTACGCTTGCTTTTCAGTTTACGCAACGATTTACGTCATTAACGTAGGTGCGTGTGTATAAGTAATGTAAAACAAATACTGGACCGTTATCGATTTTTTTAATGTTAATAAAAGCTTTCGCTCTGACACGTTCGATGTCAGGGTTATCGCCGGTGAGTGACGTTGTTTGTATATAATTATAATCGCGGCAGTGGATAATTTAATAAAATCAAACTGCGCGTGGTTCGCTCTTGATAGTAAAGAAAACACGAAAATAAGTTTATCAACAAATTTTTGGAAAACGTATCTGCGAACATGCTCTCAAATTCGATTAAAACTATTTATTGTTATTATAAACCATACGCGATCGTGTCTTTGCAAAATACTATGAACTTTTACGATTTAAGGTTATTCTACCGTGTAAATTTCAAATGAATGCATAAAGTTCGTTCGGTGTAACGGTACTTTAGCGATTTTATCGGAAAACTGGGATAAAATTAGGATAGTTATCCGTCTCGTTGACTGCTGTTTTAGTGTCCAATAAATATTATAGATCATTTCCCTCTTGATATAATATCTGTGCATCGCGTTACTTTGTAATTCTTAAAACTGAGTTATATTTGGAATTCAAATAATCGTGAGTTCGTATTTCTATTTTAAAAAATGTTTATTCTATACAAAAGAAGCCATTTAAATTCATTTGAAAGCATATTGACAATTTTATCGTTTATTCGACAGTTTATCGAGTCAATCAATTTTTGTTCATTGACGAGGATGCTAATCGAGGGCGTTAGAAATTCAAATTGAACCCGATTAAATCAGCCAGCAAATCAATCGCATTTGAAATTCGAATATTAAATGTAATTTCAATGTCATATTTTTATCCTGCGAACGTTAACCTATAAAGGTAGCGAACCAGACGTTCCCAGAAAGGCTACGTAAACATTAACGCGATTAATTCCCCGTAACTCGGTCAACCTCGACGATATTGTTCACCCTTTCGAGTTTCATTTTGACCGTTACCGGCGACCCGTTGGTCTACGAAAAAAAAAGTATACACCGCCTCACGGGTGACTTGGCCACGAGTTCCTCAGACGTTCTAAATTTATAATTGTATTTTGAACTACGACCTACGCCACCGTGGCGACGCGAGCACTCCCGTGTAACCAGCGATGGACATTTCGATACGCATATTTGCAATTCAGATGCGGCTGAATATTTAAAAAATATATTACTTGATATGCGCATACGAATTTCACGCATTATTAACGCACATGCTTGGAATGTTAAAATCAGTTCGTGTTCGCTTTCAGTTGCCCCGGCAATTGATTTCCTTTTAACTTCGTGAATTTTTTCATAATAATTTTCGCGTTCTCTAGAATTTGCAAAATATCTAACATCAGTCTAAGCAAATAGTCTATGGAATCGTATTCCAGGTAAAATAGTTACTTTCGATAATTTCCCGCCAACCGTTCCGAAACCGAGCTCGTTTAATATTCCAAAATGTCCGCTCGCAAAGTAATACTTAATGAACACGGTTTTACCGAACGAAGTTCGGGGGTGACAGTTAAACGATCGAACCGTAAAATATTCATCGTGTCGGTAAAGTATTGGACGAATTAAATGGCGATTGGAAACGGTTCCTGGTCTGTTGATTCGACGATCGACACACGCTGTCGCAATAAAAGATGCCGAAACGTTCGTCGGTTGTAAATAGTAGGCAGCAGCGTCGCCTCGAGGGTAAACGGGGAAACTAACCCCATTGATTTTTCGCGCGAACGTGCCGCCGCCACTGTCGTTTACCAAATAAGGAGAGGGCTCGAACCGCGCCACTAGACAACGCAACCCCCTGCGAACAGCAACATGGCCGACCGTTGAATGACAGTTGTTGCACTCACCTCGGATACTTGTTGACCATCCCCCGGACTTGGACGTGCACCTGTCAGCGTCATGTATTCGCGTCGTCGTTCGCGATTACGCCGGGTCTCCGACACGGTGAGTTCGCGAGAAGCAATTTCGCAAACGACCCGGCGAAATCATCGAGTCCGCTATCCTTTCTTCGACCTTCGCGTAAGAATCCCCAGTGACTATTTCGGATTTTCTTTATTTCGACCCTCCGACGAATCGATCAACCGAGCGCGTAAATCTTTTGGTGCGTTTTATTTCGAGTCAGGCCGAAAAACACAGGCGGTGCGATTCCAGGCTAAAACAGTCTCGGTGAGGTTTGTTTATGTGATTGATCACGATAGGCTCATGCCTGCCGCGAGAATGTTGTTTCGTTATTTTGCACGGAAGCAATGATCGTTACGGCGTCTCCGGCAAGATATTTTCGAGATCGTATGGTTTCTGCATCGAATCACCGTTGGAATTTTCCAATGTAAATGTTTATTCTAACCGTCCCGCGGTACGTAGTTATTTTCGTTTGCGTTTCGACGGTTGGACGAGAGGCGTAATCAGGCTTGAAATAATTATGAGTATGTTTCTGTTTTCGTTAATGATTCGAAACGGAGAGAAGGTGCTCGAACCGACGTGAAATTTGTTGGTTATGCGAGCGAAAGGTACGACGTTTATTTTGAATGAATAAGAAAGGGAAGAATCTAGGAAGGAAAACCAAGTTAAAAAGTGTTAATGAGCCTCTTGTTAATCGTATCGTCGACGCTGTCTCGATCAAAGGAAAGAAATGAGACACGTGATGTTCCACATTGTGTTACGCGGAATAATATTATTTAAGGCTCCAAGAACAAATTTCCTCGAAGAATGCCAACCAGTCGGCGAATTTATGCGGTTCAAAGTGACGAGAGAAGTTCGTTAGCAGGACACACGTATCCCTTCTAAAAATAACGAAGACATTCGCCGGTACATTGAAATCTCTCGGTGCACAATTTTAGATCTAGCGATCTCGATCGTTGTCCCCTCACGTGTGACGAGTTCTCAGTGAGTTTTCAGCGTTTATCAAGACTTTATCGCTGCCCTATATCATCGATCATAGACACATTATCTGATAAATATAGGAAAATATTTCTTTGCTATCGTTAAAACTGATTCACAGTGAACTATTCTGACAGTGAAACGAACGGTTAATCATAATTCCTGTTTTCGTGATTAAATGTTTCTATTCTCGTTAATTTCAAACATTATCTGTTTCTTAAAGGCATTTATCATTCTAATTTTTAAAATGTGTCAAAGTATGCTATTATTTAAAGTTCCAACCGACCAGCTTCTATATCCCCGTTGTGAAAAGTTTAGAGGGATGAGATATCTGAAAAACCGGACGAACTTTCGAGATCGATTGAATACGCGCGGAGGATGATAGTCCTCGATGTAGTTTATCGTTTCAGGTGAGGTCAGCGCAGATTAGTTTCGCGGGTTGAAATTATCAGAAGGTTCGTCCCTCGTTCACGAGTTCGCGGAATTCATTCGTTCTACATATACGTACATATACAGGCACACGCGTCGTTTGTCTGGAATTAACGCTTCGACATGTACGCGCGGATCGGCTTAGGGATCGGGCCAGAAAATTCAAATTCCGTTCTGCAGTCGAGCAGTGACGACGCGTACTCGAAGTGGAAAGCCAACTCTACTCGAATCGCGACTTTTTGCAATCGGTTTTGGCACTCGCTTTCATAGTTTCCCAATTTTCCTTAATTTTGTCCCCTATCAGTTTTTTATAAACGATATTTTGTTGGGAGGGAGTAAAATCTAACGAGTATCGAGATTCTTTTAAAACACGTTACGAGTTGATAATATCGTTAACAGATTCTGTGTATTTTGTTTCACATCTAGATGCCTTTCACATTGTAAATAAAATATCATCGAAGAAAGCCTCAGACCGAAGATGGGCAAGCTTCTGAGTCTTCTGGCTCGAGACGAGTCTACCTGTTGCACGCCTCAAAAATATGACGTCTTTTTGGATTTCGAAAGTAAGTTTGACGGGTGTACGTTCGCGCCAAGTTTCTTTTGAAATTTGTTCTTTTATCTTGGTGAATATTCCATTGAAATTATACGCCTCGAAAGAGTCCACGACGAATTTATTTGAAAGGCTAGCGAATAATAACTGTGGCTTTTATTGGATTCTAGACGCACAGCCCTCCGACATAGAACGGGAGACCTTTGAAGCGGTGCAAAGAGTTCTGAAAAATTCAGAATCTATCTTGGAGGAGATTCAGTGCTACAAAGGGGCTGGGAAGGAAATCAGAGAGGCGATTTCGGCGCCCACGGAAGAGTGTCAGCGAAAAGCCTATCTGACCGTTGCCCCTCTTGTTGCAAAGTTGAAAAGATTCTATGAATTTTCATTAGAACTCGGTGAGTGTTCCGTGATGAATAAAACTTCCGTATTCATAGTTTGCACGTGTTTAGCGAACGGACAAATTTTATTAACCACGTTCCACGCGGGAATTCAAAGTATTTAGAGTATTACGCGTTCGACCAACAAACTCTATCGGTTTGTAGTTATTTTAAATCGAGCCGAGGGTTTCCACGCGCGAACTATCCGAGCGAATTCTCGGAACAGAGCTTCCGTATTTCCAAGTAGAAACGTAGCCGAGCGTCTATTTTCAATTACGGTGTCAGTTACTAGAAGCAAATAAAAACGTAGGAGTTTAAATGTCGATATTGGTTCAGCAACGTGTTGCGAGGGTTTATTGTTTAGTCTGAGTATTCCTGTATACGCGATGATCGAAAATCCAATATCGCTGCATCGGCGTACGCGAAACTTTCGACCGTTTATGAACTTTGGATGAATTTATTGCCATTATTTGAAATAACACGGAAACTACCGAAGCGTTGTGAAAACTCCAGTCGGTTCATAATGTGATAGAAAAAAATAAAAATAAAACGTGCAATTAATAATTACAGTAACGGCGAAAGAAAGGATTACTTTATAATTTTTAAAGAATTCAACGCGTTTATTTACGATGAACATTTTGCCATTTTCAGAAAGGGTGGTGCCGAAGATTCTGGGTCAGTTGTGTTCGGGGAATCTCTCCCCGACACAGCATCTTGAGACCCAGCAAGCTTTGGTGAAACAGCTGGCCGAAATATTGGAGTTTGTTTTGAAATTCGACGAACACAAAATGAAAACTCCCGCTATTCAGAATGATTTTAGTTATTATCGAAGGACGTTGACCAGAGCATCCCTGACGCGGCAGGACAATGTTGAGAAGGACCTCGTGGTAGGGAATGAGCTTGCCAACCGAATGTCCTTATTTTACGCCCACGCGACACCCATGCTTCGCGTTCTGAGTCACGCGACCATTACTTTCTTGATGGACGTAAGTGGTATCTCTTCTCTTCTTTCTACTTACTTATCTTTACTCCGTCGCCGACAATTATTGATCCGACTAGACGCAAACAAAGAAATTCTGGACACAATGCACTCTTATCGCCTGAATTTCGAACTTTATCTCGCTAAGAAACTGTTCCCAAACGTCTCTTCGTTCGCGTTAATGTTTCCATCGAATTTTAATTAATACCAAATATCGTAAAAATACTTTCTTCTAACCAGTAAGTACACAAATATTTTTTGGAGCAAGAATTAATAACTAAAGAATTTTTTTTGTCAAACGTCTTCGCGTAAAATTCGTGAAAATGCATTATACGATGTTACAATAAGAACTCGTTAGTTACGCACGAGTTATCCCCACCACTTCCTGGAATTGACGAGCGAGAGATCATTCAGGCTACTTGCTTTCGAGGAGGCTGCGAAAAATTAAATTTTTATTTCATATGCAACTTTTTTCCAATAAAAATTAATTCAAACGCAACCTTATTGGAATTACTATGGACAATGGATACATTTTTGCTTGCTTTGAAATATCCTTATCGAGGTCTTGTTTGCGCTCAACTTTATCAGGCAGATTTTCGTTCGTAAAAGCCCTCTCATCGAAATTAAACAAAAATGATAAAAAATTCATTCTTTCACACGTCGGAACGATGATTCACCGTCTGTCAACAGCGTGTGCAGATAGCCAAGTTACAAATATCGAATTTTGTCAAAAATCTAGTTTGTTTTCGCGAGTAAGTAAACACGAATGGAACTATAATGAATGGAAGAGACCTTTGGAAACACTTTAGTATTGGCTAGAAACGAATTTATCCGTTACAATGGTATTGAACGGACGGCATTGCCACGGCGGAGCCTATTCTTCATGCATATGTATATCTACAGCTTTATATTCTGCACGACAGACACCCTGCTTTATGTACTGTATCGTAGTCAATAATTCACTTTCCCCCATTTATCGAAGATTCATTTCATTTTGGACAGGAATATTGCGTTTACTTTATGCAAACGTTAAACACGAGCTTCGATCAACAGCGTGACGAAACGCGAGCAAAAGAGTTCGATACAAATAATGACGCGCACCGGAGTAGAAAATTAGCTATTGCGCGAAATGATTCACAGTACAACAATTCTCGGTACATTTATCGGAATAATAGACGGCGGATCCGTTCAAATTGCATCGACGATATTTTAATTGGTATCGTAAAGGAAGTGTCTCATTTCGTTCGACCCAACTACAAATACATATTTTTCATTCCTTAATTATTAACTCTTTGTTTCAAAAAATATTATATCGCGTATGGGAATTAGAATACTAAAAGAATCGGTGCTTTAAATAGGATTCATTTTTTCCAAATCATTGTTTTTATTGCTTCGTTATCATTTGATATTTTCGTTTCGTTGCATTATTATTTCTATTAAGCAAAGAACGTTGTGTATTTATTTCAGAACGAAGACGTAGCACGCGAAAATATCACGGAAACTCTTGGTACCATGGCCAAAGTTTGTTTACGCATGTTGGAAAATCCGTAAGTAAACTTTTAATCCATAAGTTAAGAAGACGTTCGCATTACTGGAGGGGCGGAAAGTTTTGAACGAAAAAGTTCATAGTTGTGCTTTAAGCTGAATTATGTAATTCTTCTTAGAAATCTCCTGGCGCAATTCCAACGGGAGGAGACTCAACTCTTTGTATTGAGAGTGATGGTGGGGTTAGTGATCCTTTATGATCACGTTCATCCCCAAGGTGCCTTTGTTAAGGGTTCGAATGTTGATGTGAGTACACTTCATTGATTATAAACTCGAACGATTATCGAAAGGGATATATTCTGTTGACGTCAGTTGTTAAATTATTCCAAGAACCTATTTAAAAATAGTCTAAATATATCATAGTACGAGGGATCAAACTAAAATATCACCGTATCAATATTTATATCGGAATAAAAATAACGGCAGATATAGATAAGTGTATAGTGCGCTGTATATAATTTTAGTGCGTCGAAGAAAATAAATAAATGTTCACCCTCGTGTGTTTTATTGGTAACGCTGTGATGTAAATTCGCAGGTTAAAGGCTGTGTGAAGTTATTGAAGGATCAGCCACCTTGCAAGAGCGAGGGACTCCTGAACGCTCTTCGTTACACCACCAAGCACCTGAACGAGGAGAACACACCGAAAAACATAAAAAACCTGCTTGCCGCATGATTACCAAAACAGCGCGGTTGCTGTATCAGAAGTTGAGACAGCTGGTAGCTGATCTAGAATCTGAACGAGCGATGCATTCTTTTTGTAGCGCCACGAGGACGCCGAAGAAGATATCCTCACGTGTTCACGTGACACAAGCAATCTCCTGTTCCTGATCGTGGCTGGGTGGTGGACCACAAAAGTGTCTTTCGTACCGAGTCTAAAGCTGCCCGAAAACTGCCGACTTCTAAAGAAAAAAAAGAAACCTTTGACGATACGAGAAGGTAGGAGACCGTGAGAAGAAGGACGCGACACGACTGATCATCGGAGGAATTGCTGATTTCGTTCGTTGCGATGCTTTTATTGCCGCCGCGAACGCGCGCATTTAGGAATTATTACAAAGTAACGCATTACTCTTCTTACCCACTTCGATTATTATTGATCATTGCTATTATTATTACTATTAATTGGAATTTTTGATGTTCGTTCGAGCTATCTACGGTCACCGAAGTATTATTGTTCCAACAAACATCACTTATTAATATTATTGCTCTCCCGACGGGGGCGCGTTAATTAGAGCATATCAGTAGCGTATTTTAGGGTAATTTCGATTGCGGTAATTGGCCGTGTGTTACGATGAGAGGTTTAATAACGTTGTAGATATTGCGAAGATTTTTAGCTCTTGTTTTCTTTGTTGAACGGTTGTCATCGGACGAAGGGACGATCAAGAGGAATTGTTACGAATAATGGAATGGATATTGAACGGAATCGAGAATCGGGGACGACTAAACATTTACTTTGTTTCGGTGAATTTAACGAAATTTTTGCAATAGCCAATTCCTTTTATGATTCCATCACAGTTGCGACCGATGTTCTTCTGTCTGTGAGTAATTTCTGCGTGATAGAGAATCGAGAACCAAAGACACTACTACCGACGTACATCGCCGCTTTTGTTATGCATTTATTATTGCAGTATTTTCGATAAGAGCGTTATTTATATCGCCAGCGAAGAAAGTCGCGCGACGTAATCACGCGGTACTGGGCAAATTGCCGTTGTTTCCGTAATGGCAAATTCACACGTGAACAATATCTATCCTCGCGCTGGCATTCGCGTTGTAATCACTTTTTCTAAGTGCACATTCAAAGACTTTGAAGCGTACGAGACCGATTTACAACATAGATTTCCTTGTATCAAGACTTTTACTATTTCTATCCAGTGTTATCAAATTGTATTTTACAGGGTGTCCCATTGGAAACGGACGCTTAAGTATCGCCTCTGTTTTTTACGATAATGAAATTTTCTTTTCTTCGATTACTTTTCACAAAGTTTTCAAGAAATAGAATTGTCAAAAATAATGAAGATATTTAGTTTAAATGTCCTGCATTTCCGTACGACACCCGGTATTATAATAATTGCAAAAGCTGTCTTGTTCTCAATTAATTCGAATGGTCGAAATGCATTGATTATTTTTACAATGAAGAAATTGTTCAGTTTTAAACGATAATCATAATTGTCAGAACACTGCCGATAATGAAATATATCGAAGTAAAACTTTCACGAACATCCATGATCTCATATTATATTTTGTATTCAGCGTTGGAAAAACTTCGAAGATAGATCAAGACAGTTTTTTGATGGAATTTTTTACATCTTAGTTATAGTTTGAACATTTTCAGTGATATTTATTATAACAGTATTGTTGTTGCTTTCACGTATAACCAATTGTGGATGAATTTTTTATCTTTACCGTATAATTACATATACCTTTTGATACTGTTTTATGGGATAGGCTGACTATGCAAACTATTTTCCTTCAAACGTTTCGATTGTTCGTCTTTGACTTCGTAGTTTGTTTCGTTCTTTTATACATAGAAACGATATTATAACAGAACCACATTTAATCACCAAAATAGCGATTGCTCGTATTCGAATTAATTTGAATGAGTTTGTAACAAACGTTAGTTTAGGAGAATACTAATATATTGCACTTCACTCGTTTTTAAACTGCTACGTTTACGCACGATTATTTCAGTATTAAGATCAAATGGAAATAATAAGGGAGTTCTTTTTAAAATTTTTATCAGACAATTGCGAATCAGAGTAAAAAAAAATTATAAGCTATATAAAAGGGTCACGTTAAGTACTCTATTAATATATTTGATTTTTGAATATTTCGTATAATCATACGCTTCCCTCGTTTGTCTTCCACCTACAATAAAACCTTGATCATTGCAGGGAACTAGGCCGAAAAATTCTCAAGTATCGAGATTCTTGCAATGATCGAGGTCGCCGATCTAGTACAGAGCCTCACATACCCAATATACTTTCAGTAGCTACGATTATTCCTATCTTTTAATGCCTTGTCTTCCACGTGTCGACACGATACAACGAACGAGGTTCTCGTGCAGTTATCGAGGTTGCATTTATCGAGGTTCTACTATATTTCTGATTGTGCTCCTTCCGACAGCTCTTTCAAAGACGATCAATCGAAGTTTTGTCTTATTGATAACAGCAAGAGGAAAAATCGTATACTCGATTAAAGGATTCCGAATTCCGACGTTCAGCGAATCGTAAGATAAAAAATGTTACGAATTTAGTTACGGAAATATATCGACGTTTACAATCACGTTAAAACATCGGAGCTCGAAGCGTACTTCGATCTGAAACTTTAGGAGCATCGTTCGTATAAAAAAGAAAGAAAAAGGTCAAGAATGAATCGCGCAAATTTCGTAAACGGAATTTATTGTTAAGTATTATACGGATATCCTGAGAAACACAGTTTCCAAAATGTAAATCGAGAAAAATTCTACGTATAAGAGAACCTGTGTGTGATGAAAAATATTTCATACGAAACAGTTTTTTTGTTTACTTACATACGAACACGAAACATAACTGTATTGCATTTATTTGCCATTAACTTCCTGCGAACGTTAATTTAATCATTTGTCTGATTTGTGAAAAATGGACACTGAAATTTTAGTTGCATTGTAAATATTTCTTTATGTAAATATACTCGCTTTACTTGCAGCCGAATCTAACCATTTTTAAAAGGTTGCAAGATTTTGTTACATTTTGAATTAACTTTCTATATGCTGGAGTAACAGTTACGTTCTGTATAGAAGTTTGATTTTGAGTATATTTGCATTTCAGTGAAACTTACGATTAATATTTTAAGATTCAAGTTCTAGATTATCTTACAGACATTGTTATTTGGAAATGAAACTGTAGACACCCAAAGTTAATAAAATACATTATATAAATATCTGGTATTTAGTGATACTATTCGTACGTGTGTAAATAAAAAGTTAAAATTTGTAAATTGAAGGTAAGCAATTACAAAACCAAAACGAAACGAATTTCCGTTAAATGAAAAGTCTAATCTCTACCTTCTCGGTGATTGGAAATTCAATGCAACATTCAAACACAGACGAGATATACGAATAGATCTTTCACCCAATGTATTTTTTCGGCCCATTATTCTGGCAGTCAAATATCAAAGTCCATAAGGTGAAAAGTCTATTCGTATACCTCGTCTATGAGTCGCGCTTTCAATTTAGGGGGCACTGATGCTACTTTACCAGTTTAGCATCATTTCTAACGTTACCGATTTTCCATAGAATAAGATCATAACGCCAATAGTGGTCACAATTGTAACTAAGTTTGCTGAACCACCATCCAATGTTTTTTTCACTCGCAATCTAACCAACGGGTTATAGAAAACGACCATAGCGCTTTTATGGTAGGAAATGGAATTAGAGGAACTCTCGTTTTCCAATAGACTGCAGCCGTACGGACCAGAGTCGGACATGAATAGATTCATTCCATTAGAATAATCAATCCACGAGTGTGATTGAAAATTTAGTCGTCAGAAGAAAGGCGCGATTAAGCTGCGGAGAATCACACATGATACAGCTCATTCAGCTACTTCGTGATTCCTAAACACTACCCTGAAAAGCAAACGCGAAAAAATAATCGCAACACTAAAAACAATCGCGATAAAATTCATATTATATGCGACTTGCAACGCGATCAGTATACGTATTTCGCAACACTAATAAAATCACGTATTAAATAATGCGCAACGCTAATTTTCCTAATGAGCTCAGCTGTCCCGGGTTGCTTCTCGATGCTGGAGCAGGCACCAGTGTTATATTTGGGCATTTAATTAGTCGGAACTCTAGATTAAAACAAACGCGATCAGTGACTATTCGCAACGCTAATGCAAAACGCGATGCCCAGAAACACTGAACGTCGTGGTACAAGTACCATCTGAAAAACTACCAAATACTACAACTACAGACGAATACAGTGACACGGTAGAACCAAATAATGATTCTCCATTCTCATCCGAAGATGAAGATGAAGAACCATTCGTTGCAGCCCACTCTTGAGACAGTTTGTCAGGGCCTCTTCGACTCCATCGAGTCTTTTCTTTCTTCGGCGGTCCTGCCAAAGCCTGAAACTTAATACATACCAGGCTCAAGGTTCCGTGCAATACCCGGTCCTCAAACAATGCTACAAATTGTTTGAGGAACAGGTGTGGAGAACCTCGAGCGGGACGAGCGATTCGGGGAACCTACCGCGGGCGATCACGACCGCGAAGAGAGACTGTACAGTCTCGCGATTCCAAGAATCGAAACTAAAACCAAAACAAACGGTACAATCCGCTTGGATCGGCTAATGTTTCGATTCTCCAAATCGAACTACAGGAATAAGGTCTGCCACAGAAATAAAATCTGTAACAGCTCTATCCTGACCCTACCTACTTACAACTAACACACATACCAGAAAATTAAGTTACCTACCTACCTAACGCTATATTTAAAAAATTCCAAAACTCATTCTCGCAAACAACCACTCCACGGTTCTCACACATAATGTCCGGGCGCAAGAGCCTAAACTAGAGAGGATTCCCCGGGGTTCCTCCGACACCCGAACATTGTAACAACATTCATACTCTAAGGTACGTACCATTTACTGAAATCGGCTGACAAAAACTAACGACCATTGCGTGTTTTTATTATATGTACGTACAAGTATTTATACAGAACGTTTTAATATTATCTTTAATAAAATATAATATGTGTAAAATTGAGAAGTTAATCTATCAAGCATTTTATAATATTATTGTCGTGTATGCAGTATCAACTATTGTCAAACAAATGGAAAATAGACATTTGATATTATTGTTATAATTGATGAGAATTTAGTGTTAGAAAATTCTGAATTACAAAATAATGAACTTTTGAAACGACGCACTTCCACAGCCTAACCACACACACATGTGGAAAGTACGTCGTGCACGATACACTAGCATTGTCAGCCGCACATATATAGATTATTATTATTATAAATCTAAGTCATCGTGCCCATTGCCTTCACTCACACAAGTAGCACCTGAGCACTTGAGTGAGATTAGGCAATGAACACGGAAAAATAACCTGAAAATCCTGGACTAGAAAAATGATTATAGTGAATACTAACGAATAACGAAAAAGTATTTATTTCTTTCTTTCACTGGACTTTCCATTTGTAATAAACGAAGAGCAAAAGTTTAATACACATTAATAATGAAAAATATTATTAAAGAAGAAAATTATTCTGATTACAATTGAATTACTTAAGGGGAAAGATTTGAATCAAGACTTTACAATAAAACAATTTACATTGAAAATTTAAGGTAAGTTATTAAAGCAAATTAATTAAAATATTCAAACCTCGGACGATTCTGTCGTCAAAGCGTATTTTTTAAAGATACAAACAGTACATAATGCTTGACTCAAGAATTGATCCGTCGCGATATGTTTTCTTGTACATGGATTGAAACATTATATTTTTTAATACGTAAGGAATGAGTTTTGTATCATGGAATCAAAGTCATGAAATTATATTTAAATGCGAGACATGAACAATATAAAAAACAATCAATATTCACAATTATATATTTAATAATCATTCTATAGTGAATATGGTTAATTTAATAAAATAATTTATCATACTATGGCACTTTTATTTGTTACAATAGAAATCGCGGAGCACAAGAAAACCCTAGCCTGAACTAGAAAAAATATAATAGCGTAAGTACGATTCGTACCCGTGGTCACTGTATTCGTAAAAAATACCACGTATACAACTGGTCGCCCGTGTTGATTCGGATATTTTATCCTACAACATGGTTGGGGACCAGAGGAAACAAAATAGCATGCGACTCACCAATTGTTGAATGCAAGCACCCGGACGACGATGTTGGCTAGTAGGAGTCATCAGCGAAGTCAGCAACAAAGTCAGCATCAATGTCAGCAGCGAAATCATCGACGAGGTTCTCTGGATCCACAAGTACGATGACGAGATGTCAGGATCCTGTAAAAAGAAAGAGTAAATATTTTGTCGAATAGGTTTCTACCGTATTTGCAAACTTGATGTAGGAATATTTGAAGCAAATAACTTTTTTTGAGCGTACTCGGAACAAAATACAAAGGATACTTACATTTTTCACGCGTGGGCATCTCCAAATACTGTTCTTCGCATAGATAGAGGTTTCCTGTCGAAACTTGTTCAGACTCTCAAAGCACCATTGCGTCGTCGCGACGATTGCGTGGCCGTAGTTTGACCGTCCTATGTGTTCGAATTGTAATTACGAACTCTAACAGATCAAGTGCATTAAAATCAGTATATTAAACATAAAGTGAACACGATATACGTTCTAGGAGATGATAATTTTATTTGTAGATATAATAATTAATGTCGATTAGTTTTGGAAGAAAAGGCGTCAAACTGACTCGACTTTTTTCGAGATTCCGCTTGAATATATGTATGTATAATAGACTCGTATTAATATTGAATGAAAACAGCGACAGAGAACGTCGGAGAATACTATTAGCGATTAGAAATGGTTGGATTACAGTAATTAAAAAGTACTCACCTCATTAGACGCTACGCGTCTAACCACGCCAACTTCCACAAATCGAGTGACAAGCGCCGTGCAGGTTAGCCGTTACCGCTGCGAAGTGACGAGTAGAGTGGTGGGGTGGGGCGGCCCACCGTCTCGACTCTCGGTGCGAATTTCCGAAAGAAAGGTTAAACCTTCTATTTCGAATAACATTGGTGATGTACATATTTAGGATCTGCGGATATAAAATAAATACAAATTGATATCAGACAAACAATTAATTACTTAATGACTTATTATCGTTATACCCTTGTGACGTCACAATGTAACGCTGCCTGTGATTGGCGCTGCTTGAACATTGAATATCGATATATTACGCGACACGTAATTGACTAGATCGATGGAAATATGTACTTAATAATATGTAAATACATTAATTTTTAATCCGAGATTTAATCACTATTTTTAATATAAATTTTGTGAATGCAACAACAGACGAAAAATATCTAGAGAGTATACAAAAACAATAATTTTTCATTAACAGTATTCTAGTCTATTACTCGTTTGTACCTAGTTCTTGTATATTCTAAAATATTTTGTAAAAGTAATTTTATTCTTACCACTGTTAGCATTCGTAAACCAGGGATAGTAATCTGATACGGCTGTGAAATCTGAGTAAGTCAGTGTTTACATCCTTGGCCGTCAGCCTCTCGACTTCACCTTGGAGCTGGGCTCGCGAATTCCTTCTCCGCGTATCTCGAAAAACTATTGTCGTGCGTGTCTACACGATGTCTACATTGCCCGTGCCGTTAATCCGCGTGTTACGAAAAAATATTGCCACTGACATCTATTCTATAGTTCGTTTATGCCTGCACTACAGAGTAACAGTCTGATTTGCATATAGTCCGTCTTTCGTACCATCCCAGTGTCAATTCTCCTGTGTCAAATCTAGTGGAAATTTAAACCAATAACTTTAGAAAATATACTATACACAAAAGGAACGTTTATATAAGAAAGTGATTGAAATTTGGATTGAAAATTCGTATTTACACATTATATACTTTTATGATCAGAATTATTTCAATCGATCTAGTTATTTACGTGTCGCGCAATATATCGATATTCAATGTTCAAGCAGCGCCAATGACAGGCAGCGTTAGATTGTGACGTCACAAGGGTATATCGATAATAAATCATTAAGTAATTAATTGTTTGTCTGATATCAATTTGTATTTATTTTATATCCGCAGATCCTAAATATGTATATCACCAACGTTATTTGAAATAGAAGGTTTAACTTTTCTTTCGGAAATATACACCGAGAGTCGAGACGGTGGACCGCCCCTCCCCACCACTCTACTCGTCACTTCGCAGCGGTAACGGCTATTCTGCTTGGCGCTTGTCACTCGATTTGTGGAAGTTGGTGTGGTGAGACGCGTAGCGTCTAATGAGGTGAGTACTTTTTAATTACTGTAATCCAACCATTTCTAATCGCTAATAGTATTCTCCGACGTTCTCTGTCGCTGTTTTCATTCAATATTAATACGCGTCTATTATAAATACATATATTCAAGCGGAATCGCGAAAAAAGTCGAGTCAGTTTGACGCCTTTTCTTTCAAAACTAATCGACATTAATTATTATATCTACAAATAAAATTATCATCTCCTAGAACGTATATCGTGTTCACTTTATGTTTAATATACTGATTTTAATGCATTTGATCTGTTAGAGTTCGTAATTACAATTCGAACACATAGGACGGTCAAACTACGGCCACGCAATCGACGCGACGACGCCATGGTGCTTTGAGAATCTGAACAAGTTTCGACAGGAAACCTCTATCTATGCGAAGAACAGTATTTGGCGATGCCCACGCGTGAAAAATGTAAGTATCCTTTGTATTTTGTTTCGAGTACGCTCAAAAAAATTTATTTGATTCAAATATTCCTACATCAAGTTTTCAAATACGGTAGAAACCTATTCGACAACATATTTACTCTTTCTTTTTACAGGATCCTGACATCTCGTCATCGTACTTGTGGATCCAGAGAACCTCGTCGATGATTCCGCTACTGACATTGATGCTGACTTTGTTTCTGACTTCGCTGATGACTCCTACAAGCCAACATCGTCGTCCGGGTGCTTGCATTCAACAATTGGTGAGTCGCATGCTATTTTGTTTCCTCTGGTCCCCAACCATGTTGTAGGATAAAATATCCGAATCAACACGGGCGACCAGTTGTATACGTGGTATTTTTTACGAATACAGTGACCACGGGTACGAATCGTACTTACGCTATTATATTTTTTCTAGTTCAGGCTAGGGTTTTCTTGTGCTCCGCGATTTCTATTGTAACAAATAAAAGTGCCATAGTATGATAAATTATTTTATTAAATTAACTATATTCACTATATAATGATTATTGAATATATAATTGTGAATATTGATTGTTTTTTATATTGTTCATGTCTTTCATTTAAATATAATTTCATGACTTTGATTCCAAGATATGAAACTCTTTCCTTACGTATTGAAAAATATAATGTTTCAATCCATGTACAAGAAAACATTTCGCGACGGATCAATTCTTGAGTCAAGCATTATGTACTGTTTGTATCTTTAAAAAATACGCCTTGACGACAGAATCGTCCGAGGTTTGAACATTTTAATTAATTTGCTTTAATAACTTACCTTAAATTTTCAAAGTAAATTGTTTTATTGTAAAGTCTTGATTAAAATCTTTCCCCTTAAGTAATTCAATTGTAATCAGAATAATTTTCTTCTTTAATAATATTTTTCATTATTAATGTGTATTAAACTTTTGCTCTTCGTTTATTACAAATGGAAAGTCCAGTGAAAGAAAGAAATAAATACTTTTTCGTTATTCGTTAGTATTCACTATAATCATTTTTCTAGTTCAGGATTTTCAGGTTATTTTTCCGTGTTCATTGCCTAATCTCATTCAAGTGCCCAGGTGCTACTTGGGTGAGTGAAGGCAATGGGCACGATGACTTAGATTTATAATAATAATAATCTATATATGTGCGGCTGGCAATGCTAGTGTATCGTGCACGACGTACTTTCCACATATGTGTGTGTGGTTAGGCTGCGGAAGTGCGTCGTTTCAAAAGTTCATTATTTTGTAATTCAGAATTTTCTAACACTAAATTCCCATCAATTTTAACAATAATATCAAATGTCTATTTTCCATTTGTTTGACAATAGTTGATACTGCATACACGACAGTAATATTATAAAATGCTTGATAGATTAACTTCTCAATTTAACACATATTATATTTTATTAAAGATAATATTAAAACGTTCTGTATAAATACTTGTACGTACATATAATAAAAACACGCAATGGTCGTTAGTTTTTGTCAGCCGATTTCAGTAAATGGTACGTACCTTAGAGTATGAATGTTGGTACAATGTTCGGGTGTCGGAGGAACCCCGGGGAATCCTCTCTAGTTTAGGCTCTTGCGCCCGGACATTATGTGTGAGAACCGTGGAGTGGTTGTTTGCGAGAATGAGTTTTGGAATTTTTTAAATATAGCGTTAGGTAGGTAGGTAACTTAATTTTCTGGTATGTGTGTTAGTTGTAAGTAGGTAGGGTCAGGATAGAGCTGATACAGATTTTATTTCTGTGGCAGACCTATTCCTGTAGTTCGATTTGGAGAATCAAAACATTAGCCGATACAAGCGGATTGTACCGTTTGTTTTGGTTTTAGTTTCGATTCTTGGAATCGCGAGACTGTACAGTCGCTCTTCGCGGTCGTGGTCGCCCGCGGTAGGTTCCCCGAAACGCTCGTCCCGCTCGAGGTTCTCCACACCTGTTCCTCAAACAATTTATAGCATTGTTTGAGGACCGGGTATTGCACGGAACCTTGAGCCTTGTATGTATTAAGTTTCAGGCTTTGGCAGGACCGCCGAAGAAAGAAAAGACTCGATGGAGTCGAAGAGGCCCTGACAAACTGTCTCAAGAGTGGGCTGCAACGAATGGTTCTTCATCTTCATCTTCGGATGAGAATGGAGAATCATTATTTGGTTCTACCGTGTCACTGTATTCGTCTGTAGTTGTAGTATTTGGTAGTTTTTCAGATGGTACTTGTACCACGACGTTCAGTGTTTCTGGGCATCGCGTTTTGCATTAGCGTTGCGAATAGTCACTGATCGCGTTTGTTTTAATCTAGAGTTCCGACTAATTAAATGCCCAAATATAACACTGGTGCCTGCTTCAGCATGGAGAAGCAACCCGGGACAGCTGAGCTCATTAGGAAAATTAGCGTTGCGCATTATTTAATACGTGATTTTATTAGTGTTGCGAAATACGTATACTGATCGCGTTGCAAGTCGCATATAATATGAATTTTATCGCGATTGTTTTTAGTGTTGCGATTATTTTTTCGTGTTTGCTTTTCAGCTCGTCCGTGCCTGTACCATCAGTCATCATGTTGGCAATGTTGAGAGTGGTACACATTCTCGTCTAACAAGGTTGGGTATATTTGTTTTTTTTTTTAAGAAATAACGCTTAACTTGTCGATGTCGTATTTATTTCGAACACCGCTTGAATTTAAAAATGCAGTACTCTGATCGTTTCTTAGATTCATGTACTACAGAAACACATTATCCATAACATATACACAATCGTTTCTTGTAATTTATGCTATGAAAACATAGGATCTATGCGTTAGCAATTACTTTTGCTTTCTTTTATTTACTTATTTAATTGCTTAAGATTAGGAAGAACTATCACGTAAACAAAAATATATTTTTTTTTTTCGTCAAACAAACACTACAGACATCTGAATATATACAAGTACAGTTACACAAATTCTCACAGCTTTTGTACACGGTATTGCAACACGATGCATTCTTTTTACGTGATAGGATCGAAGACACAAAACGGAAGAAATGTCTTAAGTTGTTGTCAGTCGGAAGTTGTGTTCTCGGGTTGAGAAGTTTGTGGCGCTTCTTTATTCGTAACCGTTTGATCTTGCGTGAGCGTCGAGTTATCCGAATTCACTTTATGATTAATAGTACCGATTCCTTTCGACCAGGAACAACTTCTTCTACCGGGAGATTTTGGCATAGACCAAGTGCTGCTACGAGATCTTCTTTTAGGGGATGCAGTTCGAGACTTTGCTCTTGTTACTTTCACCTTCGATGTTGATCGGTCTCGTTTCCGTCTATAGCGACTTCTGGTATTATTTCTGGATTTCGAACGACTTCGCGAACGAGATTTTCTCCTAGATCTTGATCGACGAGTTCGAGACCTTACCCTTGTAGGCGACTTTGATCTTGATTTCGATCTTCCGCGTCGTCTTCTCGATCGAGATCTGCTTCTACTTCTACTGCGTCTTCGGCTTCGTGATCTCGAACCAATCCTCGACTTTGATCTTGTTCGCGACCTTGGTCGTGATCTCGATCTACTTCGCGATTTAGAGCTAGTACGGGACTTGGATCTTGACCTTAATCTCGACCTCGATCTCTGTCTTGACTTGGATCTTGATCGAGATTTGCTGAACGACCTATTACGACTACGGGACCGAGAACTTCTGAAGTCGAAAGAATGATAATCCTGGCCCACTAAGTGAGCAAAATACTTGTAGTATTCCTCGTTATACAAATGAGGGTTGAACGTGTGCAGTGTGCGAGGACTTCCAGCATTACGCCATAGAAACCCCCTTCCTCTTCCGCGTGGAAAACGCCCACCTCTGGACACGCCTCTTGATAAAGCGGGGTAAATCATGGGTAACGCTGCTTCGTAGTACCACGGTTGTGGAAACCGTTGGTAGAGAGTTGGGTAGGGAAGAGTCTCCAAGGCAGTAGGGGCTAAAAAATCAGATAGGTATAGTTAAATATATTTGAGAGTTGATAATGATTCTTTCTGTTAATGACACTTACCTGTTGACGAAGATGGATACGAAACGTTCTGTTTGAGAACGCTTTTCAATTTCTTCGTTTGTCCTTCCGCATCTGAATCCTCGCTCAGACTCGCAGAATTTGCAGAATCCTTTTTATGTTTCTTCTGGGAAAAATTTACAATTACTCATTCTAACAAACTAAGTAAATTACAATGCATACCTTTGTCTTTTTCTCCTTTTTCGATTTCTTTCGTTTCGATTTTTTCATTTTTTTCTCATTCTTTCCGTCTTTTGCACCCTCGTCTGAACTTAATATTTGAATGTTACCGTCTGGTTTACTATTTTTTTTTTCTTCTTTCCTTGCATCTGTGTTCGACACTTCATCAATTTTAATTTCATTATTTTCCACTTTTATCTTAAAATACAAAATGCATTTAAATTGATTTTATGAATATGAAGATTTTGTGAACCAGAAGTTTCTTACAATTGTACCTTTATCCTGTCAAATAATTCATCTAACAAGCGGATGCTTTCAAGCTGCCTTTGTGCTTTTATTAATTTTTGCCCTTCTCTGGCGATTTTCATAGACACTTTATCTTCTTCCTTTTTACGAAATATAGTCAAAGCTTTGCGTTTGCGTTTCTCTTCTCGTTTTTGTCTTCTTCCTTGCTTTGCTACTATATCAGCTTCTTCTTTTTTTCTACAAATAGAAGTACATAACACAATTCGAGCAATGTTTAAAACTACTAAGTCTACTGCTAATTACTTTTGTTCAGCGCGACGTTTCTCTTCAGCTTCTTCTTTTCTACGAAGCCTTTCTGCTGCTAATGTATCCTGTGCTATTAGACGCTTTCTTTCAAATTCTCTATGCGCGACAGTACTATCGCTCATATGTTTTGTTTTGTCAAAATTTATCTGCATATATTAATCGAATTAACAATGATATGTTTTGTTATATCGATAACAAGAGAATTAATTGTAAGAGAAGGAAGAACATAAAAACGCACGTCGTCGCGACGAATTAAACGGAGATAAGGAGAGAGTTTCAAGTGGGCAAAATTGCGGTCACTTAAGCGGGCATTACTGTATAGATAAAAGCTTCCTATCTTAAAAATACCTTTATTGCAGATGTAAAAGCATTTTCGCCTTCCTTTTTCAGAATCTTCATGCCACGTAGTGCATCCATAGCTCTAACGAAATCCATATATTCGACGTACTGAATATAGGCATCAAAAAATATTCCATCTTCGTAACTAAACTTATTTATGTTTGTGCCAAGACGCATCCTAGATCTATAAGGATCAGCAGCAGGTACATCGACTCTTCTAAGTGTTCCCCATTTTTTAAAAATTTTTGTAATCAAGGATTCGCTAGGTACAGTTGCACCATCTTCCATAAACCACTTAACAGGCAAGCCTGTTATATGTATAGTATCAGGCCTTTCTCCAGGCTTTAATTCATTCATGTGTTTTGCATCTCTGAAGTAAGAATCCCAACTGTGTCTTGTGGGAAAATCATCCTTTGCCTCTGCAGCACGAACTTTTAAAATGTTGGAGAATCCAGACAGATTCAAACGCTGTGAGTCTAGTCTTGCAAGTACACGTTGCAGTCTGCATCTGTCTTGCAAGTCTCCTTCCAGTCTGATAAATTCCAGTGTACTCTTGGCTACCTTCAGAGATGCAAACTCGTCCGGTAGTATAAAGGCACGTATCTTCTCCATTACTTCCCATGTTGATATAGTTTTTCCTGTTTATATCGCAGTTAATTTTCTGTAAAAACCTATTATGCTAAAAATATTATGTGTAATTACAGATTTGCACTGAATTTAAAATAACAGCACATATTTCCTGTCACAAAAGTCAATATTATTAGTGATAATAGTAGTTAACAAATAGAATTCATAAACCTCGTATAGAATCAAAGGATTAAGTATACATTAATAGATTTTATCGATACTAAGCATTTAAATAAAAAAAAATCATGGAAAACGTTGATTTCGAAAGATAATTTTAAATGCAAACATAAAGTTCACAGTATTCGGAAGATACGTAAATATAGTAGTAGTGAATTCAAAGCATCTGCAATTCTTTAATGATCATTTTACCTGGGACTTTCAGTTGGGGAAGATTAACAGACACATTTATTTTTGCAACTGGTTTTAAATAAAGCGCGCGTGGTGTATATAGAGGTACGATGTCGCTGAGATCCCTACAGCTTCGAAATTGGTTAACAACCTCACTACTGGAATTTTCACTTACCTTCTTACCATCGCTCATTATTAATCTAATGTACCCTTAATCAGAAGAAAACGCGATGTTCGTGACAGAGACTACAAATATTGTTAAATATCTATCTTACGACGAGTAAGCTCAGTAAGGTGAAAACTTGTTCAGTAGAGAGGTTGTGCATCCATTCGAAACAACTACAAAATCTTCCCCGGCCTGATTTTCTTTCTCCACTTCACTGTTATATCGTTTCATTCACCACGAATCGGTTCACTCTCACCGATTTACTTTTACCGTTATATCACCGTCAATTTTACAGCGGAATCATTCCGTCTCTCACGTACTGTCAAACTCCACCGATCGAACACTGTAAATATCAAGAGCAATTCAGAAAGACACAAAACGCTTCCTTCGATGTCATGTCCGCGATCGAGTCCAAAATCATTGAATACTTAGCGTACAATGTGCAATGCGTGCTGCAAGATACGTCATGTAGGGAATTTTCAATTATTACCAAATGACGCACGCGCATACGTTCGTTGGTGAAATGCGTCTTCTAAACAGTAAATTATAGGGAGTAGAAAAAAAGTCCCTAGGCTGGTATATTTTTATTTCTGTATTAATTTTGATCGATAAGCGATTCCTTCGATATCTTCTTTCTGTTACCGATTCCTTCGACACTTTTGTCTTTCACTCTTTTATGCGATGTCGTAGAATGTAAACACGCGCAATTATTTCTTTCTGCAATGTGCAAAAGACGGTTCGTTGCAATTACAAAAGTCTTCGATGAACAATTGAAATATTCATTGGGAACTGCCTTCTGCCAAATTGCTAGGATCGTATAAATGCAGCGTGGTTACGATCGTGCTTAAAATATTTGCTATTATCTTAGTTATACGACCGGCGCCCCCCTAGACCTATCATTTTCTTATCTGCTACATATTTATCGTAATTTGAGAAGGTTGTCGTAATGCATGTCTGTTAGTTGATCAATAATATTTCATATTCGAAATAGGGAAGAGAAGAGGGGGTGGAAGTTTGTCAGTTGTAAATTTTATACACGATATTCCAGAGTGGAGATGTCGGAGTACCTGTTCTTGTAACAATGTTCGCGTAAAACCCAGAGAAAGAATCGAGTTTAGAGAATGATTAACTTACTCTTTTGTCCAAAACCAGTATCTCTAGTGAAATGTAATAGTTTATTATTAAAAATCAGACAAATTGTTGTACATTAATTGTAAACGACTCAAACTTTCGATTATACATATTGAATATTGAATTTGTGCTGTTTCTTGATCCACTGGTGCGGAGATCACGCGTTTTTAAAGAACCCCATGCCGAAATAATAAACTGTGTAATTCTTGTATCGCAGTAACGACGTAATAACAGTTTATTGATAATATCTGTAATATTTAGAATCTATTAGACTAACAATTATTTTGTTAACATATTCGGTACTGTTGACAATATCAGTTGTATAGAATAAAGTATTTAGCGTATAAACATTCTAATCTTAGATCTGATTAATAACACTTGAACGATCGATTTTATTACTTTAACCCCTTGACGCACACGCTCGTGACATATGCAAATTAGTGCACTAATACTTCGATTATTACAGAAATTTTCAGCCTCGATCTTCTGCAATAATCGAAACAATCTCATTTGTTGCTCAGCGATTATCCTCTCGATTTTTCGACACCGTGTGATTAATAAAACTCTCACACAATAAAAAAGGTTCTAGTGAATATACAATAATTTTGGAAACTGTCATTTTCTTGTATTTTTAATATAATTAACTTAGAAGAAGGAAAAGACCGTGCGTTAAGAGGTTAAACACGAGTCCAGAGATACATTAAACAATTAGATATTTTACTCAAATACCATTTAAACCACATGCAGTTTAGTTCGTGAACGTTGAATAGTCAAGTATTGTTGCCCGATGAAATCATTTTGTAGATTAATAATAAGGAAGAATTACTCTTTCATCGACAGCAACATCGTGAAGTACGACATGCACGTTTTAAAAGTCTTAAAATTGAAGTCCATTTTTTTATTAATTAATACTCATGCCATGGTATACAAACTGACAGTTCCATTGTTACATACGTTTCCGAAATTTTCCATGTTCATTTTATACAATCCACCCGCGGTCAATTCGCACGGTTTGCTGGATCTCATTTGTAAAGTGTGGAGCACTTTTTGTATTTTCACTGGGGTATGATACCATTCGGAGCTGTACCTAACGCCCACGAAGAGTTACGTTTAGTTTAAATATAGCAATGCATTTTAAATACTTATTTTTAACACACACATGTTATTCGTGACCTCTGAGCTGTAATCGGTAATTATTTGTCCGGGCAAACTGAGGAAGAATAGATGAATATTCTGAGCACCGAAGAAAATTGCGTGTCTTATAGCTTCGTCAGGTTCGTCCAAGTGCATAACAACCTAACAAACAAAATGCAGGCTTATTTAATAGCTCTACAATAATAATATCGTCGGGGAAAGTTATTCTTACTTGAAAAGCTGTGACGCTAACACCGATCATGTTAAATCCGATCTGAAGCAAGAAATTCTTTCGATTTATTCTATCCAGGAACTCGAAGAACCTTGAAACACAACAAAATAATCAGTCAGTCGAATAACATAAATTGTCCGATCCGTTTTTTTCTCTATATTAATATTAATTGCTACAAACTGGATGGCTTTATTGTGTGCTTCCACACATTCTCTGGCATCTTCGTATCCACCGTCAATCGCGGCGAGTCCATTAGTAATCCCATTAGTTTCTGTTGATTTCTTAATCTTATGTCTGCATTCATTAGAATCACTCGAATAAACAAACTGTGCCATTGCAATATCGGAAGAAAATAAAATTCTTTAGTTCATGCCAACGTGATGTTGTGCGAATGATTTATGAGGTGGGCGTCAAGCGATTGCAAATGCACTAGTACTCGACAAAGCATATTTTGGTACAACGATTCAATGTATAACAATTTATTCCTATCGTTTGTTTCTCCAAAACTATTCATGAAAACGGTATTGTTCTACATATTAGGATTCTGTTGAAACAAGTACTATACATACGATATACAGGTCGTGGAAAACTGAAAGAGTAATCAGAAATATTCCGGAAAAGTATCGAAGTAATGAAATGCAATTGGAAGGATGCTATATCGTGCACTGTTTTATATTTTATTAATATATTTACCCGCACACGGCAAACAATCCAGAGGCATGATGAGCTATGACCATGTACAGAGAATCGACAGCGATTACCGATAGTACAGCAGCAATTGAACAGAAACTCGCATGGAAATAGATGGGATAAAAATTTTCGTCGCTGTCTACGAAGTAATAAAGTTTGAATACTTGCTGTCGCGGTCGTGTTTCGTTTAGCGGCATAATGATATCCAACACAGGATGAACCAAGGGAAGCAATAAAAATAATAACAAACCCGGCAATAATACACCTGAAAAATTAAAAGATTCTCTATACAAAATCCTTTTAAAATAAAAACTTTTTAAAAAATTACGATAAAGCATCCTACCTCTATAGAATTCTGCAATTTTACTTCCCTTTTTGGTTATTTCATCCAGAATGTGCACGGTACCGTTTACCTCCAACAGATCCCATTCCTCTTTTACAGAGATAAATATTTTTTTCAGCTGTAACAGTTTTCATTCGTATCACTTTACATTTAATAAGCTCCCCTCGCGATAGCTCGCGTACGTACATTTTGTCTGTTGAAATAAAGGCTTAATGATTTCACGATGCTAGTTACGGTTGTAATTAAATGTGGTTGGCACTCGATGACTCCATCCAAGTCATTTTCGACGAACGATATGTAAATTGCGAACAACTGTCGAATTACGTTTGTTAGTTTTCAGATATTTATATTCACTAAGTTTTGTAATTTTTTGGCTATTTTAATAATAGCAATTTTTCGTCGATATTGTTTAGCGTCCTATTTTTGGTATACATTGTTGAATTAATATTACTTACCGTAGGCATTACAAGACTAACGCAAGCCCCCACCACCACAGTCACGATAATTTTATTTACCAGGTCCGTATGAGCTGAATAATGCCCCGTAATTATCAAATACTTTTTAAGCGTATTATAATAAGAAATGTCGAATGCGCTGCTAACTCGTCGTCCACCAATTTGAATCACTGAATCATATTTGTGAAATATAAATTATAATGATTTGAAGCAAACGATTTACATTCTTGGTGGTCCAAATGAAGTTCAAATAAAATAATTGAATAAATAGTAATTGCACATAATAATGGCCCTTCTTTTATTAGTAGACTGAGGATCTTTATGCAAATGGGAGCTTTGAAGAGGGTTGTCTCAATCCCTAAATAATTTCCATCTTATTCGAAGTATTTCTTATATTTTTGTATATTAAGTGTATTCTGTAGTTTTTTAAAAATGTAAATTCTTGACAAAATACATAAATATCCACAGTCTACTTATCAATGAAACGAGAATGTATGCAGTGTTTCTTCAGATTCTATCTTTCAAATTTAAAAAGAATAGATCGTCGAACCAGGGCGTGGAGCGATTTATTTATCAGCAGCCACGTTGTTATTTCGCGTAACCAGATAAAATATCGTAAATCTTACCGTTGGTAGGCATTCTTCAGATACGAATTCCTCCAATGGTTGTGTCAATCGATCGAATCTGACGACGCGGAATGAAAGCGAGGCCCTACGAGAATGCGTACACTTTAATTACTTCCTCGATGCGCGATGCTTGCAAGGGGATAGTTTTCGAGAGAACTATCGTCTCGCTCCTCGCACGGCGAGACGTTTCGTTGTAAATTTAAAAGTCCTCGATGACCAATTGAAATATTCATTGAGGAAATGCCTTCTGTCAAATTGCGTGGGATCCTACAGTGACGATTGCACGTATAATAGCAAGGGTACTCTATACATTCTTGATTCGCAGAACGTAGGACTCGCAGTATCGAACCTTGTCATTTTCTTATCTACCTCATATTTGTAGTAATTCGAACGGGTTGTCGTAATGCATGCCTGTCAATTTATCGGTTTGACACACGGCGGTAGTTAATATTAGGGAATAAAAAGTAGGGGATAAAAGGCAATATCTTGGAGCAAAGACATTGGAGCGCGTGGTCCTATAATAATATCCCGGCAAAACGAATTGTTAACGATACGAAGGGGTGGATCCCACCAGTGCCATTTTCGTCTCTCGGTACCACAGACCCTCCACGCCATTCTTTGAGTATAGACTCAGCCAGGTAGTACTCGGTCTCTGGCTTTAATATGAAGGCAAACTGGTTCGACGGAAAGTCTGTTTTGGTATACTTGACGGAGAGTGTGAATTGGATCTAAAATATAAGATATTATATACCACTGTTAGTCGTACTTGATCCTAATCTTTAGTCAAGAAATTAATTACGAAGACCTAGTGTTAGGGTGCACAAAAGATGGCCAATTGCTGCTTAAATTAATTAGGTGAGTGTCTAGATATTCATAATATTTAAATAATTGTGGCCCATGAATTAAGTTCTGTAAGTGTAGCTGTTCAAATTTTATTTCTATTCTAGATATTTTGTCAGCGATACCTATTTGGTACAGAATAACTAATGTATTCACATTTTCTTTTTCTAAGTATTTAGATTTGATTTTGCATATTCTCTGTCGTCGAGATCACTTTGGATGGGAAGAGATGTACTAGGAATATTTAGAAAGCATTTTAAAGTTTGTGAATAATACTCTGAAATTTCGCTAAGATGTTCTTGCAAATATTGAAAAAATATCTTCAGTCAAATCGTTGAGATATTAGAAAAAGAGATGGTGACGATGGTTCTTAAAATATTAAGATTTCATGCATTATTGATTATACGAGTCTGTCATTTTCTTATGACATACGTAGAAATTTGAGAAGATTGATGTAATGCATGCCTGTCAATTGACCAGTTGACACGCGGTGATTGTTAATATTTGAAGCAAAGATTTGAAGAGGGTGTAAATTTGTCTGGCAACCATATGGTAAATTGCGTATGTGAAATTCTAGAGTAAAAACATTACCACAGGCGAGGTATACGAGTGGAGCTTACACCTTATAGACTTTCGTGTGGGCTTTAATATACGTTTAACATATATCAAAGAAATTGAAATCTTTTTAAATAATATTCTCAATCAATTTTAAAGAGAATTAAATTCGATGTTGGTCTTTTATAAATATAAATTAATGGGGTAAGGAAAGGCACGCAACATTGATTTTCGTTCTCGTATATTATTAAGTGTGAACAAATGTCAACAACATTTACAACATATTATTGGCCGAATATAGAGTCAGTTAAAATTAAGTACATGATAGTTCAACTCGATTTGATTATTATATCGTCGCCAGTCATTGCGAGACAGTAAATGCGGGTTCGTTAATAAAGGTATGTATCTCGATACATCCTGGAATCGTTACTCCGCTAAATATGACGCGTTTTATTACGTTTGTGATTATACGTCCAGTCGCGTAAATGCTATTTATTTTGATTGTTTCTCGGCGCTGCGAGCGATCGAACTATCGCGACGAACGTGTGCTCGCTTCGTCCTCCTCTCGTAGTCGCGATAAAATCGTGTCGTTCGTCGCGATGGAGGAATCACGTTCACGGACTTTGCTTACGAGCTACGATTCGGTACGAAAAAATTTCTATAAAAACGAACGCCCGTTCGCTTCTCGTGAAAATTGTGCAAAATTGGCAGTCGCGGTTAGTTTCGAATCGGAAAACACATGGTCGACTAAATACGTCCGTCGCGGATCAAACCTCGCCAAATGAACTAGACTACCGTACGTATAGTAGAAATTACAATTAATTACAACGATTTAATTACATAATTACATAACCATAATTTACACGAGCACGTAAAAATTAACCGAAAGATAAATTCGTTGGGGTCCCTTTCTCCTTTCAGGCGATCGCAAAAAAGTCGTTCTAAAAATGAAGGACTAGCCACGCGCATCGCGGTTCCGTCTAAAATAATCTGTCCTTTGGTCGCCGCGTTTAGGCCGTCACCTCGTTCGACGAACACTTGTCGAACATCGCGTCCAGAACTTGCGTGAACTTTAAGTGTCTCTCTTCCGGCGCCACGGTCGCGCCTCGACTTCCCCATAGGAATTTTATATGAAATTCGGTTCGAAACGCGTCCGACAGCAGCTCGTCGCTCCTCGAACCCTCCAAAACTATCTCAGCATTTCTACGAAACAGCGGCAAGTTCTCGGCCATCCTCCGCGCCGATTCCAAATGCGACCAAACTATAGACAGACCACAATCGGGGGCGGAATTTTCCCAAGGCGACAAAATGGCGCCCGCGAGGCCAGACGGAGCTGCCATGCCTGAAAAGAGCGACAAATTTAATTTAAAAAAAACAGAAATCCAGCGCTCCAAGTTCCAATAACGCAAGAACTCGATAAACAAAGTAGAAACGAATTGTTGGTAACGCACCTAGCACATCCTCCGGTCCACGATCCCCCAACAACGCTATAGGCAACAAATGGGGCAGCGTGGTGTTGGGTGCCTGTGGGTTGGTGCACTCGTTCATGGCTCTCAGCGTGGGCCTGAGCTTCGCCTCGAAGCTGAACGCCTCGTCCGTGTACTTCTGCCTCAGGAGATGCCAGGTGTTCGCCAGCCTCTGGATCTGCGGCAGGCACAGACCCAGCATCACGCCGCAAAAACCGTAGAGGTTGCCCAGCGCCGTCTTGGTATCGATAGCCACCTTGATCCACTTGCTGATGGTGCCTGCTCGTTCGATCGCGGTGGCCCCAGCCAGCACGGTCACCGCCACTAGGAGTTTCAAGCACTCGGACCGTTCGATCAGGTCCATCCTGGCCTGTCTACCGTGTGGCAAGGTGGCCAGCTCGATGCCGCTGAGGCCGTTTCTGTTGCCAGGACCGGGTTGAAGAGCCAGCTCTAGATCGATCTTGGTCAGATGCGAGGCTAGAACCCTGGGTGCCGAGTCGAGAAGTAGTCCGGAGACTCCTCTCAACGCGGTGGGGTCTAGAGGCCTGTGGTCACCGGATGGCAACAGAAAGGTCGTGAATCCCTCGATGTCCAACGACGTGGTGATCTCCAAGGATGGAGCAGCCACCACCAGCTGCTCCTCGGTGGACAGTTCGTACTCGTTACCGCTGTTCCCGTTGGTGCCATCGTTGCTGGTGGTATAGTGACTCCTAATGACGACTCCTTTGATGGGAACCGAGGATGACGGGTTACTGGTGCCCCCGGAGTTGTTCGTCTCGAACTCGCTGTCCCCGGAGCCGTTGCCACTGTCGCTGCCCGACGCCTGGTATCCCTGGTGATGATGATGATGGTGATGATGATGGTGGATAGAGTGATGCTGATGATTAGGAACGTACGGTACCCTTGGCGGCTTCGGTGGAGCCGTTCCCAGAGAATTTTGGTGGTTCAGAGACTGCTGGTGGACCGGCTGTTGTTGTTGTTGCTGTAGGGCAGGATCGGAGATCACCCTGGTGATCTTTTGACGACCCAGAGACAAGGAACACGAGGGTGGTTGATTCTGTATGGGTGGTACGCGCGGCAGGGTGCTAGATTGAACTGGTCCGTGAGACAATGGTTGTTGATTCGACGTTTGACGACCGTCGTGCTGGTCCGAGGGATGATGCTGGGCGGTCAAAGAGTGGCTTCGTTGCTGCTTTCGAGGCAGGCGAGGCGGAGAACCGGTTGACAGGGACGAAGAGGAGGGGCTCGAACAGTGCTGACTGTTCGCTGGTCCTGAAACGCAGGTCAGAGGCACGCATCGTGGCTTTGGGGTGATTATGCGGGCACCGCTCGCTTGGCTTATCGGTCTCCCGCTGCCGACGTAAAAGGTTATCAGGTCGGCCACAGTGTCGAACGCCTCATCCTCGAACTGGTACTGCGCCCGTTCGTACACCGTCTCCGGTTGGATCACAACCTGTTGACAGCCAGGACTTTGGTTTAGAATCTTCGAGCAATTAAACTATTCCCTCTTGCATTCGTTTTAATCCCACATGGGGTGTTGTATGCAATTTCATCGAGTCATAGCATCGAAACTATCGTTAGTCTCGTGTAAAATTCCAACCTTATTATCATCGTTAGATTTTCAACAAATATTCGCAAGCTCCTGCAGTAGAAACGAATAAAAACACAATTTGGCCTACCCTGTTGATGACAAAATGAAGGGGTTGACCCTTCCATCGAACCGTGAGGACGTAGTTTCCGGGTTGAGAGGCACAATCGCGGACCAGGAAGTCGCCATCGTTGGGCACTTCCGCCTCGGCGCCTTTTCTGCCACCACGAAGAGTGCTACCGTGATACCAAGCATGAGACCTCAGATCCCTGGGATCCAGAAGTCGAAGTTCCCGCTCCAAGAGTTTACGCGTCGACTCTTCCGGTGGCTCCTAAATTAGACATCCGAGAATGACAGACGTAAATTAGGGGATTCGCGATGCGCTCTAGAAATTAGCGTTGCAAAGCACGGCTCGAATCAAGCGCTTGCATTAAAATTTATCCGAGCGATTCAACCTTGAATGAGCTCTACTTGTCATAGTACTTTACATCGATACATTTTTGCATCATTTTTATATAAAAATTACATTTAATAGTTGATGGAGTTGAATGAAATAAACTTGCACGTTGTTTCATTAATGCTATAGTAAAAGTACGAAAAGTGTGTCAGCTATATATAGTTTAGGTTTACGCACCGAAGGGGACCTAGCATAACATCGAAACATAGGCGTGTTTATTTTAATATAGTATATACATTCATCTGTTGCTATATTAACTAAAATTGATATCTTTTAGGATAAAAGATTGATCTATTTCAATAAACAAGTGAGAAGCAAGATCTGACCGTCAAAATTTCTTGTAAAGCAAAATATGGTCATCAATTGATATAGAATATGTGTTATGAAAAAAAATTATACGATTGTTTCGTACGTCTGTGCATGCAAGTCGTGCCAGTCAATGAAGAAGTGACTCGACTCTGCGAGACTACGAAATTGGCTTAACAAGAACAGCCTTGAGTACTTCGCTCGTAAAGAGATCATCGCGACGAGAGCGTTCGCGTGTGTGCATTCGAACTATCACTGACATAACGTGTCACGTGTGAAGGCTGGATCATAAAGACGGTAGCGTATGAACGACCTAATTATGATCGCTGAGAATTATTTGATTGACAGAAAATTCTAGCAATCAGACCATTAATAATAGTACCTCGGAGGAATTCGAGGTCTATTGCTTCAATTAAATCTTTAACACAAAACACTTGATTCATTGTGAAATTCTACTTAACTGTTCAGAAAGATAATTCAAATATTTTCAAAAATTCAGATATACTCTAATGGAAGTGCTTTTCACTAACTCTGATTTAGTATACAAGTTTAACGTTTATTCAAAGGCAAATTAAAAATTTCTTCTCGCTAGGGTGGTGGTAAAAAACGAATTCTCATTCCGTCACGTATCACTGTCACTATAAAATTTTACGCCCCGCGAGAAACTTGAAACGTTAAATATTTGTGACTCAGGTACTGAAAGATGTCACTCACCATCGGTAAATTCGAGTAGTCGTTGCTGTCAACCCTTTTCGCAACAGATTCTCTGGAACACGCGTCGCGGTGCTCCCTTCTGTCCACCGCCGCCTCCTCCTCCGCCTCTTCAGCTTTTACCTCCGACGACCTGCGTCGAAAATGCAAATTTTCACGACGGATCGGTCACATGTCGTCCCGATGCACCCTTCCGCCTCGAACCACCCCCGAGAATCGGCAACAACGGAATACTTTTCCCTATCGCGTTCGGAATTTTCTTCGACTCGCGAGATGTCTAAGGGACGGATAGGGTTTGGCCACACGGCTCTCGGGCCGAGCGCGCGCACCCCACTGAACTATGTGCGTGGAAACCTACGACACGTACAGGGCCGTGTTTTTGGTGGACTTCGAGGGGCACCCCGCTGGGTATTAATAGAACCATGGACCGACGAATTCGACTCGCGCTGCGTCGTTGCAACGGCCAAGCAAAATATTTTCCTTTCTCCGTGACTGAAAGCATTTTCTAATTCGGGACTGTTTAGAACAGCCTTTGTCTTTTCTTGATTTCTTTGTTCCCAGCGTGCATCGTCGAGAAAATTTATTTTGTGTCCATTGATTGCGGGGAGACTCGGTAAAGGTCGGCACACTGTCTCCTCGAAAGATGTTCGTGGCTTAGGGTCGTCGACGAACTTCTTTCAAGGTTTAGTACCGGGTTTTTTTTAGCGATTAAGGTAGTCGAGATATGGGCAGATTGAGGATATTCTGGTGCAACAGACCATTCATTATATTGGTATGCTATACTTAAAATAATTTCTCTTCTTTTTTCTGTGTAGGTTCTCTTATGCATTCTGAAGAAGGCTTACCTTTACTCGAGACTAACAATTATTATGGTATGTTGAATCAATATCATGTATGACTGACAATATCGATGATACCACTTTAGTGAAATTATATCTGAAGTAAATATTCATTTACTGCGAGAAGAAATGTGTTTAAAGAGGTACAACCAAAGTGTGGTTTCTAAACCCAATTCCATCATATCTTTGTGAAAGTATTATCAATTAACTGGTGAGGATTTTCCGGTGAAAATGAATCCAAACATGACCCGATTACGACTACTTTTAATGATACACGTTTGGCGCTAGTGTTTGCAAAATTTAAAAATGGTCGTGTTTGGACTCATTTTCACCGGGAAAACCTCGCCGATCCATTAATGTTACTTTCACGAAAGTATTGTGGATGATTTAAAAAAACAGATATTAAAGAACTTTGTTATTAACACTTCCACGATTGGCGGATGTTCTTTTGCACTTTGTGAGTGATTATAATTCATTATTAAAACAAGTATTCGATACTATTACGCGTTACAAGTCTAAGTGCATAAAAATTGTGATAGATAAGATATCGATCTAAAAGCGAGCGTAAATATAGTACAGAACTATTGTTGCTAAGATAAGAAGCTGTATTTGAAAAATTTTAACTGTCTCGATAATTGTTCTAAAATTTTTCAAGAATTTCGAATTTGACGAGTTGGAGGGGTGTATTCTCGGTGCACTTAGTACGTCACTGAGACGCCACCCGTTGCGTCTCGTCGCATTCTCACCCACGCCTGCGTTTTCTCCGGTCCTCGAGTGGCTTTCGAAGTCGAGTCGACATCGGGCATTCGATCTGAGAACGCGTCGACGCGGGACGGTCGAAGATATTATTTCGATTTTCGAGCGGTGACGGCCAGTTTGGGTCTGGGATTCTTATCAGACGGCGTTAGGTTCAGTCGATACCAACGGGGGTTATTGATCTGTTTGGGAAGGGGTAGAGGGGTTGTAGATGGGGTGCCGACGCGCCTGCGTCAAACAAAAGCGCTCGATAAGAGCCTAAGAACGCATAAAACGCATCTGTGCGTTTACTTTGCTCGCCGTTGTTTGACGAAGAGGAATGGAGTTTCGAGTGGTGGACGCAACGATGCAGGTGTTGGCGTTGCTCGCGATAAACGCGAAACGCGCGCGTAACAAGACCAAACGGGACAAACGTTTATACAAAGTTTCTTCGTCGTTAATTTGAAACTGTAATTCTCGGTTTCTTACGAATCGGGTTATTTTTCGTGAACTTTTGTTTTGGAGTAACAATTTTATGGAAAAATATTTGTCTTTCAAAGTATTTCTTATCAATCGTCTTTGTCTTCCAATAGTTCTTTCGACAAGCTGAATCAGTGTAACGCGTGCCACAACCGTTTCATATCGAATGTACGATCTTATTGACTGTTCGATAGTGTTCTATGAACCATTCCGATTTGTCACTTCGACGTCTGATAAGAATCGACGTTTCTTGTTTCGCTCCTCCGATATTTCGCAGCTCGCGTGAGCCAATACTCGGTACAATAGAATTACAAGGTACGAATTTATTTCTAGCTCATAAATTGAAAATGTCTCTAACGCTTTAGACCGGATCGAATTAACATTATTATTACGAATTAAATTAATAGAATAAATAGTGCGGATTAAGTTCAATAAAAAAGGGAATCGTGAGGATTTGTATAGGGAGGACGAAGCAAATTTTCATGGAGTTGTCGACGTTATAAATAGGAACGCAAAAGGGCTTAGAACGCGAACCGATAACGCGCGATTCGCAGAAGTTCGCCGTACGCCTTATCTTTCTGCGAGCTCTAATGTCATAGCGACAGGATCTCGCGTGCAGTTGCACGATTTGCAACGATTGCACCAGCGTGTTTCAAGGTTCGCCCCCAAGCAACACCCCTTTACAGATAAATTCTCCCCCTCGAATTCAGCGAAATAGAGGGGTCCTTGAAATATTGAAATTACTGAGACCATTAAGGGGTGTCCAAGTAGTCGAAACGTGGGATCCTAGAAACAAGCTACGACTCTGCTATTTGTAATATTCACGAAATTAATTTTCTCCAAAAACGTGACCAGATGAACGAGTTTACGAATTTTTGTACTGTTTCTTTCTGAATCTTAATTTTATAATTAATTTTGTTGCTCGAATAAAATTTGGAGAATTCCGATGAAATGAAATTTGTACTGGAGTAATTTTACTCCAAATGGCGCGAACGTCTGAAGATTACATCGCGTCAAGGGCATAGGGCTGTCCTTTGAAAATCGAGGCGATAAGATTACATTCGATTGCAGATGTGAGAACGCAAATGTTTGCTGCCACTGCAACTGCTTTTGCAGCTGATTTTTGGAAAAAGCATGTACAACCAAGACTACGGTGCACCGGGATACCTCAGTAATACTCTTCATCACGAAGATAAATTAATTTCGGTACTCGATGGAACACAAACTTATAAAATTCAGCGTTAATTTGGAACGCGTTGATAACACGTTCGTTTGAGTGTTTTAAATTCACGCGATTCGAGACAGTTATCGATATAAACAATTTCCAATCGTATCGTGGAGCTCGATGCTCAGATAAATCTCTGGTAGAATGTTCGACGACACCGAGACAACGATCGGATCAAAGTGTCCGGGACCAGATTCTCGAAGAGATTATGAAATAACTATCGTGGAATGCTTTATAGTTTCCCCCGTTTAACCTTTTTTTTCCGCCACGGGATTCCCGCGATCTCTGGTCCGAGGGAGAACGTCATTTTGAAGGCGAAGATCGAGGAAAACCGGTTCGGGACCTGCCGGCTCCATTATGTTCCCGGGCCGGTATCATGACGTACCCTCGAACAGGCTAATTCATAAGTTATAACAGAAGAATCTCGACCGCCGGCGGAAAAGTCCTTCGAAGGCCTCGACTCCTGCGGTCCGCAATCTATTCCCATTTCTCTTAAGCTCGTGCATAAAATTTGCATATACATGGCCCGTGAAATGAAAGGTGTCGCAGATTAGTATCTCTGGGAACGCGAATTCCCCGAGCAACAGATTTCCAAAGATACACGCGGATTCTCGAGGCGTGGGTTTATGAAACCGGAAAGTCCCAACGACAGAGATCCCTTAGACACGTAAGTATAGAAAACTTCAAGTTTCATTATAAATACTCCAAAACTATAACCGAGACTATAGGTTTTTGAAAATCTTTGAAGCATCATTTTGGAGCACGAATATTCAGACGAACTTTATACGCAGAAGAAGAATCGTTAACGAGGTAAGAAAACGATATTAAACGAATGGGTTTGTGGTCACTGGACACGCTTGCGGTTACCTTGGGCTTTCTTCGGTTAGATCTTCCGGCGACAGTGGCGTCACGATGAGAGAAGGTTCCTTCTGAATAATCACTTCCGGTTGTAGGTGGATCGTGTGTCGCTTCTGCTGGAGATCCTTACAAGAGGCTGAAGAGGGTATGCCGTTTCTCTTTCGACGACGGCCACTGGCGCCTAGGTTTTGCAGGGTGACCATTGATGGAAACCGGAAGCTCCATGATATGCCTGGGCAATATTAGAATGCCAATTATTTCGAAGGTATTGGTACACAAACGTTAAACTGTCTTTTTTACAGGAACCTCGTCTACGCAAGCATCGAACAAAAATAACGAAAAGAAACTTCGATCAAAATAATTTTTTTTTATTTCTAAAATTGATCGTGTACTCTTATAACAATCAGAAAGATCTAATTCGTCAAAAATATAATTCGTTCCAATTATTTTTGTTAGAAATCCCCGATACTCACGCATGCCTGAACTTTTCCGCGCGCGATCCTTGTCGCTCTCGATCATTGCAATCCGGCAACAACTCGCGGGTTAAGTTCTCGTCGACCGGTTGCGTCACTGAACGCGCATTCTGTTCGTTAATTATTTCTATCGATATTTATTCATACGCGAACGAGGAGCGCACACTTCCACGAAGCGAATCGTCGCGACTTCCAAGCGCGAGATCGACGCCGTTTGACCCGCGACAATCTGCAATCGCGACTGAATACCATCGCGCCGAACGTTTATCGACACCGTATCCAAACGATCGATGTTTTTTATCTGACTTTTCCAGCGCCTCGCTCGTCGTATTTCGCTCTTTCAGCAACGCGTGACCGATAACCGCTTAATCGCGAGGTTTGATGTGTTTCTCGTTCTCACGACGACTCTGCCCTCCATTGCGTTTTCCATTAACTGTCACATCGTCGTCCTTACCGACAGAAAGAGGTTTCACAATTGTTTAAATTATTCCATTAGCACAACAGTAACCAACTTGTTCACAGTTAACTTTTACTTTTAAATAAGTGTTAACTATACCTGTCCATTGTAATTATATTCTAATGGGCACAGCAAGTTCTTTCTCGATTTAAAAAATATTCAAATAGTGTCAGTTACAGGTCTTTTGTTCGAATCTTCAAAGTATTAATGATTATTTTTTTCAAATTTTCAGTAGTCACGTACGCACTTGTTCACCACGATTAACACTAACTCTACGAAGTCCTTTACTTTCTATAATAATATTTAATTACAAAGATTCATAATTTATCAAACAGAAACTCCGGAGCAAGATCTAATTTTTCACGTTTTCGCAAACACCACTATATCACGTTCTTCTTCAATTTCCCCCGATCTCAATAGTCTCTTCTATCCTTCGCTAACGCTCCTCGATATTTCTCTTCTCCCTATCTCCTATCTCATTCCGTTGCAACCGTATGTTCGCTATCCATTGTGCTATCTCCCATCAAATATCCACCGTAAATTCCACGAATCCGGCTCCTACGTCGCCAAACCTCTCCTCTAAGCTCGAATGCTTACGAATTACGATTGATAAAAGTTTGCACTTTGTATCGGAGGATCCGTTACTCGGCGACGCGATTTATCTCCCATTGAAATCCGTGCACGGTCACGCCAAACGCGATCACAGGTGCAGCAAACCGACCACGCACATTGCCAAACGAGTCCGTTCGGGCCCGTTCGATTCCCGTTGATCGACTCCCGAATCTCCGGGTCCGTTCGGGTCCATTTTTTTTAACAAGTCGTTTCGGTCTCGACGGTTTCGGCTTTTTCCAGCGACACGCGCGTCTTTCGCGCAAGCCACGCGCGGATCCTTCGAACAGTTGGCCAGAAACTGAAGTCCTCGGCTCACTTTCGCTTCGATCCGTTTATCTTCGCTCGCCTTCTCGGGCACAGATATAAACCTGTTCTCGACAGCCTTTCCCGTCGTCGGGATTCGAACGAGCGTTGCCCCTTAACCCTTTCGCTCGAGCTTGATAAAGCGACGAAGCATGGTAGGAAAGTGTAAATTCGTTTCTACGACCTGCGTTTGGTATATAAATAAATCCCGGTCCTGTCTGCTCGTTGCCGCGTGCGCGATTCCGATTAAACTTGGACCAGGATAGGCTTAAAACCTGACGCGATGCGATCTACAGTCGGTAATTCTATTTTCGACACGAACATTACATCCTCGTAACTTGTATCCGATCGGGTCTGGGCTATATTATTCGGTCGTCTTCAAAATTTTCGCTATTTGCGATATTTTATTGTTATACTAGTGGTAGTATAAATTTGCACCCATACATTATAATTACAATATTGTGTGAGTTGTAATATTGGAAATGAAAAATTAGATACAGTACAAATTTCCACCCATGGTACTCATTAAGGGTTAACAGACAAAACAGAGAGTTTATATTTATTAAAAATCTCCGTTGTTTTCTATGCACTTTTCCCGATGTCCAACTTTGACTTCAGACAATTGGAGACTAGCATACCCAGAATATGTCATAGAATTAATTTTTTTATTGCCTAAATTTCAAGAGTTCCTATCATTTTGTTTGACATCTAATCTTGGGAATTAATTTTTTTAGCTCCTTGGTGAAAAATCTTGCGAATGACGTGGCAGTCGATGCGATAAACAGCGTGCAAGTTTGCGTTTCGGGTCGTCCATAGATCGGTTGTCGGTCGAAAAATGGTGTGCCCAGGGAGAAAAGGACAAAGAAAGGAAAGGACATCCCCCGCTGGGAGAGGACTGAGGTCTCTCGAAACGGGAGGACAATAAGGAAACACTCGAGAGAGAGAGAGAAAGAGAGAGTGAGTGAAAAGGAGCGGCGGGAGAAGAGCGACTTCGTGTGCGGTGGTCGCGAGTTCGAAAGAGCGGAATAGCGGAATGCAGGTGTGTTTTGCGTCGCGAGCCGCTCTCGCCGACATAATACCTGGCGACGCTGATAAGGTCGCCGTTTACAGAGATAACTATGCAACGTTTGGAGAGGCACTATCGACCGAAAAAGGTGCGATAGGCGCCGTTTCCGAGGTCGAGCGAGCACACGCACGAACCGTCAACGTGCTGGAAATATTTTCCACCGATTAGCTACCCTCCGTCTGCAGTAATGATTCTTAAAATGATCACCCACACGTGATTCGTAAATAAAGCATTTCTATCTCCTCAAAACTGGAGGGATTCTCCATTGGGCCCAATGAAGCGCGAAAGATGTTTAAAAAATGACTACCAATAATAATTCTTAAAATGAACGCGTGATTCGTAAATTGAACATTCGTATCTCCCAGTGAAGCCGCGGAGACGACATTTAAAAAACGATAAAGCTGTCGTCGAATTTCGTCTCTGCTGCACGTAAAATGAACACACCAACCCTGGAGAGACGTTCATTTTAAGAATCATTGGTGTATCGAATCTGTCGTCTGTTTCGTTGAACGTTAATCGGTAGCTCGCTTCCAGCAGGCTCCAGGCTGCTTGCCATGCATTTCATTATTTGGCCCCTGATCGCCTCGCACAATTTATCCACACACGAGACACGCATGTCACGCGCTACGAACACTGTCTCGGCGTTATCTTTGCCACGCACTTGGACGATGGCGTCTCCCAGGTTACTAATGACTTACCGAAAAAGAAAAGCAAAATTTTTCGAATTCTTTGCTTTATCGTTAGAAGATCGCTTCGATCGAAGCAGCCACGGGGTTCTTGCAACGAGAACAATATTGCACACGAGTATATCGATACGATTTTAAGCGTAGTCATCGCTAGATTTAGGTGTTCAAAGTGTTAATTTTCTTAATCTATATATAACAAATGATCATTTAATAGTAACAAAATTATGTCTGCAATTTAGTCAAGCTAGAGATTTCAAATTGTTTTTCTGTCAAATCTCATTTCTAACGAATTACAGGAAGTTTCTACTACTTGTTGCTCAGAAATATTCCGTGTTTGATGTTTACAGTGAGTTTGACGCGATCTTGCGGCAATAAGAAAGATAGATCAGCGTTCGATGCTCGGATTTTTGACTCCAGAGAGGATTGAATTTTTCTTTGTCGTTGGTGGCGGTTCTTTCCGCGCGTTTCTCGAAAAGTTTTATTCACGTGCGTGTAACGTTGCGACGAGATCTCCCCCCGTTTCCTCCGTGGCCGCGTAATTATATGCGCGTTTACCTCGCGACAGGAATTTCAATTGGACCCAGTTTGTGCACAGCTGACAGGGCCGAACGAGTCGCCCGTGATTTTCGATACCGGCGGGGAGAAATCGTGAACGAAAATAATCGAGAAAAGTTGCACGAATGATAAACAATTTTCCACTGGTGGGAAAAGTTTGTGCAAACACGTGTGGTCGATGTTACTTTTGCAAATGTGAACAGAGTTTGTGTTAACATAAGCGTTCTAAAGATTTTCATACCATAGAAAATTGTAAAGGAAAACTAAAAACTATATCTCTTCGGCATTTATTTATTAAAAACGCGCACATTATAATTTGAAACACTTCGGTTTTAAAGGTCTCCGCGTAGAATTTTGAAATTTTAGAAAATTTCCACCATACGTAATACCATTTCGTGTTTATTTACAATCGTTTATGCAGATTTATTCGCGACCAGACTGGACTACGAATGAATAATTCCAGTCACGTAATTTTTTCAAAAGCGGCCTATAATCGCTTTCTACGTCTCTGTATTTACACGGGACACCAAACAAAAAATGTAACACATCCAAGAACTCGTAACGCCATGGTTTCCCAATATGTATATAAATTTTTTTTGTTGGCGGATATTTTCGAAACGTCGCGAGTTATTGGTCGCTACAGCCTGCACAACGACTCTTTATCAGCCGCGAGGTCGCATAAAAAGGTACCACCGGCACGACCTACATCCTACGTTTAGCATACTTCGTACCAGTTTCGATTTTGAAATAAAACACTGACGCGATTCTACACGTGTTTTGCACGCCGATTCGCGAGGCGATCGGGACCGTAGGCGTTTCGCTCGACGATAAACGCTCCTTCGCGAGCTGAATTGCCATTATCTCGTTTCGACTGTTTGCCAAACGGGATGATCGTATTTGCAACAATTTATCTGGCTCGCGTTGCACAAGAAATTTAATAGAAACCGTGTCTAACGAGTCCGTTTCCGCGACGCGAACTTCGAAACCTCGCGAAGAAAACACCGTGCCTTTTCCGATTCTAAACCGAATTAACTTTTGCGTAAGAAAGTATTGGAGTCTGTTAAGATACTAATGATCCGTTACGAGTGAAGGTTTATCCGAAAGTTAAATTGATTACGTACCAGATAAATTCCTGCAGCAACAATTGTCTGAAAGCGTTGATTATTTTTTACGAGACGTAACGTACGACCTAACAAATCACATCTAATATGTCTTCCTGCATCGAGTTGGAAAGTATGTATTGTTTGACGAGGAGTTAATAATGCGGCCATCAAGAATAACCTTTTCGCGCGTCACAGTTTTCTTACAACCCGCTTTCCCGAAAGTAATTAGTCCCAGGAAATAGAAATCAGTGGTAATTTGAATTATCGAGGTTTAGAAATAGATTTACGTGGGTGAGCGAAGATACTCGATAATATTGCTCAAAGTTTGCAATTTTGCTGATGAGACAGCGCGATGAAACATATCCTATAACACTCTGGAGATTATATACGTCGTATAACACTCCGAAGATTTGTTATTAGAATTTTTATCTTCTCATTGGAGTACGTGATTCAACGTCATTTTCTCATACGCGCGCGAGATCTCTCGCTGCAACCTCGAGACGAGATTCTATCATTCAGACACGTGCTCCTTGAATCTTGGATCTCAGCAACTTATTACACTCGACGCGAATCGCCTCGTGCAGCACTGAATCGATAACCGTTACACTAATCTTTAATGTGTCATCCTTGTAATATTTATTCGAATTATTTCATTCGTTAAACGCATTTAAATTAAAACAGGTTTCCCTCTGTAAAATAGAGTTTACAAGCACAGGTTAACTCATTAAGTAGAAGACATTCAAAGTAACATTTTTTTATCAATAGTAAAATTTATTCAATCGTCGTGTGATTTTTTAAGCGAGACGTTCAGACTCGAATAAAGTGCACCGTAATTTTGTTTTCAACAGTTCTTTAATAATATATTATAAATAAAAATAAATTTTAACTAATGCTTCCTTCGGAGCAAAAGCTCCCACAAAGTAAACTCGATGAAAACGTTAAGAATCACTGCACTGTGCCACCAGAAACGAAAATTCGCAAGGAACATCGCACGAGAAACTTTTCACCGTTTAAAAGGGAGTCTCGAGGGATCGAGAGGTCGAGATCCACGGGCATTGCGGGGATCGAATTAGATCCACGGAGCTAAATCGAAATGTGTATCGTTGCAAGGCGACGAATGGAAATAGCGAGAAAGACAAAGTGACAGAGAGAGGGAGTGAGAGAGAGAGGAAATAGAAAGTAAAAGTCTGCACTGACTCTGGCTCCTCTTTGACTTCAGCTTGCTGGCGGTTTTCCCCATTTTCCTGGCGGACGCATGCCAGCGGGTCACGTTGCACCGATTCCAGGTAGCGGCTCGTCGTCGAGGCTGCACCGGCGGAAAGCACGAGCGGGAAGCACTGACGGGCACCGATGTGACCGTAGCATAATGCGATACCGAGCTGACTGGCCGCAAAACGAACGAGCAGATGAACTAAGGGACGACGGACGAGAACGATGGACAACCGAGTGGCAGTCGTCGCTAGAGCGAACGAGCTGGAGGAGAATGTCAGCCGTGCCAAGAGAGAGGGAACACGCAACTGAGCAAATAGAGGACAGATCGTTCCTGCTGGACGAAGAGGGGACGATTACCGTGGTTGGAGGGGGTTAGACAGAGAGGAAGAGGAGGATTTTAATAAACGAAGATGAGCGCGTGTCGGTTTGATTCGAAACAATTAATAACCACGACTCCATGGAGGGCAGTCGATCGACGAAAGTTAGGAAAATCTCATTTCCAACCCTTAACGCTTTGACTGCCATGGTGGTCACTGGCCATGTTGTTTTAGTTGACTGGTTTATCTTTTATTTTAGTGGATGTAATATTGCATCATTTTGTAAAGGTTGCACCTTGTTAATATCGAGAAAAAACTTTGCTAATCACAATTTATTGATTACAATTACTATATGACGTTAATTTCCGGCTGTCAGCGAAATGATAGACAGTTTGTTCTTCGATAGCAAACAGAGGAGGGAGACTCGAGGAAGACGAGGGTTTCGGTAAATAAAGGCAAATACAAGTTAGTTCAACAGTTAATAAAGGTTAATTAGGAGTGAAACTATGATAAAAAATAGCAAATAATACATTTTCGTTTGATTAATGTTTCACTAATTTTTGGAGCACTGAAATCCCTTAATGTCATGCGGGAAAGAACATCCCCTAGAGCTCTAAAGGGGGTGGATGGCTCGGAAGGGGAGAATCGAGGGTTTTAATAAGCGAGGATTAACACTGGTTGGTTTGGTTAGCAATAGTTAATTAGAGTGGGAGGATATAGGCGTCGAATTGGCTAAGTGTTTGCGAAGGGTGGGAAAGGTAAATGCAACCAGATGTAATTGGTGAGGAAATTTGAGAGGGTGAATATGATTAGATGGATGAAACCCGAGAGATAATCGTTCCACTTTCATTACTATAATAGATGAAAGCTGTAAGCTTGAACCTCCAACAATGACTTTTAATTATACAGTGTGTCTAATTATATTTTTGGTTACAGACGTCTGTTTAATAAATTATTACAGATGAACAGTTCTTCTAGGGAAATATCGAAAAAAGTTATGGTTACCTAAAGACGAGTTCGAATTCGAATTTCGTACATATGGAAAAATTCACAGACTGTTAAAGTCGTTAGGAGTGGGGAAGATAGGCATGCCATTATACATGTGGCACGCCACTGGTGCGCGTCACAAGAGACAAAGACAAAAATTGACGGAGGAGCGGAACAAAGAAGAGCGACGTGATAATCGAGACAACGGCAAGTGTTTAATAAGCGATATCGATAAAAGTGTAAACAGAGAATGGAATCTGTTACTGCGAGCGCTGTTTGTCACAGCGACGAAGAAACATTAACCGTTTGACAAAACGTCGCGATGCACGCTTCAATCTTATTTGTGCATTTCGGACAGAAACACAATTCGAAGATAAACTGTCCTCGTGAATTTTACGTGTTTGTTCCTTTATTATTATTCCAGATTTGAAGATCCTTAAACGAAACGAATCGCTTAAATTAAATTTGCTGTCTGTTTGGAGTATGAAATTCCTGTTTTTGTAGTTTAATATAATGACGATATGAATATCGTTAAAACGTTGATTATTAGTCATATGAGAAGTCGTTTATTCATTGATACGAAGAAAGAATGTCTATGAATCCACAAAAATAGAAATAATATTAATTATTATTACCACATGAATATTGAGACCAATAACAAAATTAATTTCATTTCTTATTTCTATTAACAATTATCGAGTTTGGTTGATGAAAAGTGATCCGTGTGCGCGCCAGATTTCGATTTCACACGGATCAAAACCGTGCAAAGCGGAGGGGGAGAGAACAAAAGTGGTTGAATAGAGAGAACGAGGTTGGCAAAAAGTGGCTGTTCGAAAAAGAGCTGGTGAAGAGGCACACGCGCGACAAGTGTTTCGCACACGCGCTCAACAAGCTGAAAGAAACAACGTGTCGTCATCGAGATCCCGGACTCGTTTTAGCTAAGCGACTCTGCCTGCTCATCGCGTTATTCGCTTATTTATGATCCGGGGGGGAAAAAACCGGAATGCATCGCTACCATGCGAGGATAATGTTGCAGCGTCATACCAAGGACGCGAGCGCAATACTAGTAGCGTTCCATTATCAGCCGTGAAATCGTAAACGCGATTTACTTCGAGTTTCCCTTTTTTTTAGAGGATACACTCTCCCAATTCTCGTGCACTGTTCAAATATTAGGTCGTAACATAAAAATGAATAAAACTGAGCTTATTTATGTTGTATTTGATTTATTACTAATGTGGAATGAGTAAGAAAATTAAGTTTACATATTATTATTTAATGCAAACTTCGAAATCTGTGTGTTTGTGATTTTCTTACTGCTTTCTACTACTTTTGTTTGATCGAAATAAAATTTTATTTAGCTGTTCGTTAGGTTTAGATTGGAGAGTATGAGCTACTAAATTTTCGGAAATATTAGCTGTAATAATTATTGTATTGTATTTATATAAAATTAATATTCTTCAACATATGGTTAGCGCTCAAGTGTGTGACGAAATAGTTTCCATTCTTGACGCTAGATAGTGCAACTGCATTCTGTGTACCGACACTGCAGATACCTACTCGTGTTCAAAATCTGTGTGTTTGTAGTTTCCTTATAGTTCCTACTTTATTTATCTAATATAAATGAAATGTTATTTAGTTGCTCTCTATGTTTCGACGGAAAATATAGAGTCGGTATTTTCGGCGGTTTAATATTTTTACTCAAATCAAATTAGCTTGTACTTAATACATGCAAAAGGGTCCAGTAAAGTTTAAAATACAGGAAGTGAAGTTCTTTACAAATAATTCTGAAAAAAGATTCATCTTATGTGGTCCCTCAGAAAAGAAATGAATTATTCATTACAAATCTGTATCAGACTACTTCCTATGTTTGTTATATTTCGCGTTGTGTAGGTCGAGGCTTTACATCGACTAATCGGTTCGAACACGTAACGTAAATAACGTGCTGAGAATTGTTGCAGTCGGCTTACGTCAGTTTCAACGGTACAAATTGTTGGAACGGAGCAAGGTTGCGGTTATAATTGCGCTCGACCATTCAGCGTCCACGCTGTTCCAGTGCTGTCATGCGTGTCTTCGAGTCGTAAAACGAGACTTGCAGTCAAATTAACAGCCGTATTTCAGACCATGACGAATTTAATAAATTCTTATCTCGTACACATCCCGAAGCTATAATTCAGAATTATATTTTTCATCGATGAACCGTAAAGCGTATCGCGATTATATAGTGCCCATTATTTCACGAATTATTGACGAAGAATACCAATAAAATGTCTCGATAGCTATTTATTGGTTTAATTCTATTTTTCAAACGCAGATGTAGCTATGTAGTGATTATAGGCATAGGCAATCACATGCTAGCGTGGTCAACGTGTTGCATCTCTTCAGGCGCGAAGGAAATTTAAATGCATCGATAACCACGTTTATTCGCATTTTTATGTCTAAGATAGTGACAAAGTATTTTTGTTCCAAAGTAATTTTGAAATTGTAATTAAAAAATAATTCAGCAGTACCTTAGGCCTGTTTTTTTTATTGGTGCGGTCTTACCAGAATACATCGAGTTTTACAGTCAACACTCTCTATAATATGGAACGACGTTTGCTGAACGATCGTTCGATTTCTATGCAACGTACATACACAGAGTAAATGTCACGTATACACACGCGTACAAGTTAGCGAACGTGCTCGCTAAATTACAAAAGCGTACACTTTTTATTTTTTTGTTCAATGATTTTTGAGGAAAGCAAAATTTTTGTTTCTTTTTCCATATCGTTTCAGGACGAAACAAGGTCGACGAACGAACAAACGTTTTTGAAATAGAAAAATTCTTAATAAATATGGACATCGCACGCCTAGCTCCGACACTGCTGCTTACACTCTAATTGTATAGAATCTTTCGACGATGTTTAACTAGTATTTTCGCTCGCATGATCGTGTCTTAACTCGAAGAAATTGACATTTTACAACAGCGAAAGACAATATATTTTTTATTTTCTTGTGCTTTTAACCTTTTCAAGGAGATCCTCTACCATCGTTCACTACCACGGCTTCCATTTTTAATCTTAATCGTTAAGGTCTACGGTTGTTACAGAAGTCTCAAAATATGGCTGGATTCCTGATTAATTTCATCGTCAGATTAACGAACAAATGAACGATCATTACATATAAATTTTCTTTTTTCTTTTTTTGGTACTGCGTTCTGCTTCTGTATTCCCGGTGTTTCATAGCAATCAGCACTCACCGTTTTTCGTTACTCAAATATAATTGTCGTCAAGCAATATTGGACATTCGTGTTCCAATGATTATTACAAGTATTACGATAATTGTTATATAACGTGAAGATTATATATTAGAGGTAACAATAACAATCATTATTTTGCTCGTTTGCGATCACCCAGAAGTCCGACGACGACGTTAATGAAAAATCCGCGGCCCAAAAAAATACTATACACGCATCTCGTGCGCGTGTATCGTCCTCTCTTCCTCTAGCTACACGCATTCGTTTTCTCTTGCAAAGTGACAATACTCTCTCTCTCTCTCTCTCTCTCTCTTTTTTTGTTATTCTTTTCTTAGTTTCTAATTCGTCTCTTCCCACGCACACACATACGCAAGCTTCCAAGAATCTGATTAATCGTAAATGAAACGCGTGCACCGTGTACCAGGTGTAAATGTGAAAATGATTGTGGAGTTAGTAAAATTATGTTATATAATTGGCAATCGGGTCGTCGAGCATTCGCGTCGTCAAGGAAAAGGTTCACTGCGAGGTTCCAGTGGGCGACAAACTCATTATACATTAAATATTAAAACATTTGATTAAACTCTAGATTTGCTCTATATTGAAAATATAAATTTCCATACTGTTCAAAGAAGCGATATTTAATTATCTAAGAAGATCTTTCTTCGATTGATGTACTCGTGTTTATCTCGATTACGCTAACATACTTCGCTAAGCAAAATTACTAATTCGTTTGTCAGCGACAGGACGTATCGCGTAAAATATTAACGAAGGTGTCAGCTACCGTTTTAAAGAAAAAGTTAAATCGTTGATCGACGCTCTTCAGCGGTTACGCTCGAAGCAGAATAAGTTGGCTGCTCAAGGTCGTTTTACAGCTACCCCCATCACATCCTCTGTCCTCCCCGCTACTCCATCCCTCGCTTCCTTGTTCCGACTATTGCCCACAGAAGACGTAAGTTTATAAAAGACATTGTTATCCGAACAAAGTGGTAAATGGTTGAATATTCGAGGCTGATCTTGAGCAACAAATTTATTTTGCCTGGACCGTGTCCGCCTCGTCGAAAAAACTAAAACGCCTGGTCACAGTGAAACGACGTTCCTCGAGCCACGCCAACGGCTCTTCGCGCCATTAGAAAAAAGGATCGTCGGATCGTACAAAAGGATGCTCTTCTCACCGATAGAAAAAAAAACTGATATTTGGCAACGGTGTGTAGCATCGAGAGCCGTAGACAGGGGGTTGGCTATTTTATACGCACGTGAAATATATTGTTCGTGTTTCTTCAGCGCGAGGTACAAAAGAACAGTATCTTACAAAGACAAGTATAGGCAGGTACTGTATTATGTTTCGCTTTTTTAGTTGATCGACGTCCGCGTTTTGCGGACGATCGGTTCGCACGTTTCGACGAGAATATTTTTTTCTTTACTCTTCTCTCAGCCTCTCTTCTACCCAGCGTCACGGTTCCGAATCGCTCGACGTTGCAACGTGTGCAAATCATGGAACCCTCCGAAGAACGAAGTGGTCTCAGTCGCGGTTCACTTCCTAGCGTGCTCGCGTTTAGGGAAACGCGACGTTCGAGTAAGGAAATTCGATTAGGATTGCTTCGATGGCCACTGGAGGGCTCCACGCAGAAATTGTAACGAGAAAACGATATTCCGTTTAATCGGGAAGTTTAAAAATTGAAATCTGAAACCCCGTTCGATTGCTTTTCCCATTTTTCACCCCAATTGCGCGAAAGAATCGTCAAGTTTGTCAATTTGCTGTCAATCTCTAGCACTTCCAGCTTAACGACGGTTATTAATCTATCTACATTGTGTTTTTAATTGACTCCGGCTTGAAAATGCTGTGAATTTTTTCGCGTACTTGGAGCGAAAGCTGAAGGCTACAAACGTGTTCACGCGTTTAGAGAACTCGTGGTTAATATTTTTGTTTACGAGATTTCGATCCTCGAGGCGTAAGTGGATCAACGAAGTACCATTCGTTTCCGCGTAAAACCCTCCAATTTCGCTGCACCATTGTTGCAAAAATACAACGCTCGTTCTGTTGCGTTAACTTCAGCAGCACAGTACTTTCTTCGAGTGAAGTGTTACCGCGAGAAATTGCGCTAATAAACCACATCAGGAGTGGCGAATCCGTGGGGTCAGCTACGTCGGTGTAACAATTTGAAAAGAAGAACGAGTCAAGACAAATTATTCGTACATTTGCGAACGTAAATCGACGCCTGATCAATAAACTTGAAAGTTTAAATTAATCGTGAGATATCTGTTGCTAGAAAAACGAGAAAAATTTGCCACTAACTGACATTCACGATGTTTCGACTACTCTCTATTCGACAAAGTAGAGAATAAATTAAGTAAACGATTTCGATCTAAATATTCTGTGTATTCAGTGTTTTGTTTCGTACGAAAAGTAGGTTGGAAATTAAAAGGTTGCGTATTACTAGACGCGAGTCCATTGAATACGCGTATTCGACGCTCGATCTATAATACTTTCATGTGTTTCGAGTTTCGATTTCCTCGGACGCGTTACGCCGGAAATCAGTAGTTTACAATCGTTAATTACACATCTATCTACGCGCTTCTGTCGCACGGAGAAATCAAAGGGATCGGTCGATCGATTGTCTTTAATCTCTACCACGTGAAACGAGATCAACAAAATGTAGAATACTTGATTTTTGTAGAATCGTGTGTGTTAAAAAATAGTAAAAACGCAGGATTACAATTCGAAAATCTGCAGCGATTTAATGACTTTCACAAATTATTGTCTACGAATGAAAAGTAGACGTAATAAAATTGTCTTATGGTAGGCCAGTATATCGTTGTTAAAGCTGCGTAGTCATAGTGTAACTATAATGCGTTACATTTAGATAGTGTAAACACTGGTGAAAGTGTTTCGTCCAATATTGTATTTAACCTAAGAAAAAACACGTATGGTTATTTTGATAGATATAATGACACTAGGCTTTAAACTGTTCATCTCATTCCTCGTTGTAGAAACTACGAGAAAAGTCGATCGAACGGATCGAATAGTCATTTACAAGAGTATCGAAATTTCGAGACGAATATGCCGATTATTTATACACTGTGTGACGACACCTCTAACATTTATGCTACTCTTTAGTTTTCGTAATTTCCCCAGATACGAATGAAAATTTCACATCGATCGTGAAACTGCGTTCTTCGATACTAGGAACAATTACAGGAAAAATGAACGTGATATTGAAACAACGAATAGTTCAAAGTGGTAATTGTTGAGATACTAACTCTGGAAGAAATTCAAGAATATTAAATTCAACAACTGTAGCGACAAACTATGATTCAAGGTGATTACAGATACGAATCTGGGGAAATTATTTCATCTATGAACAACATGGTTCTGTTTACGCTTGCCTGGCACTAACATTCTCGAAATTTTGTTCGATTTCAACCGGTCGAAGGGGCAACAAATTTTATACAATCTCGTCAGCGACGTCGCCCGAACGTTTAAACATGCTGTACAAATTGGTCGAACATTCGCCAATTATTTATCACCAGGTGAGAACGCGACTAGTAAAATACAATTGACAGGTTGAAATCTTTCTCTGACGTCTGTCCTTTCTTCGGTAGTTTCTATAGTTTGTCTGCTGGCTCGACGTTCGTCGTTATTCAAAATATTTGGTTATTATTTGCTATATCGAGACGCTGCCCATAAAACATCATCGTACAATTCTCGACGCGTTTCTTCAACGTTTGTGGGCCGTCAAGCTCGAAACGAAGACCTTCGTCTGGCGTCGATATTGGTATTCGTACAGTCCTCTCATTCTAGATCCTTCGTGAATTCTAATTTGGGGCTGTAAAGCACCTCGTAATAATCTTCTCGCGTACACAGCAGAAATCTATATAACGGAAATAAATATATCTACCATAAGTATTGTGCTTACGCGAAAAGAATAGTAGTTGACATCCCCACTCTAGTTCCCTAGTAAGGCGCGTCAGTCAATGACCAATTCGTGCGTTAGTAGGGAACTAGAGTGGGGATGTCAACACACCGTAGCCTTCTTTTCGTGCACCAAGAAATACCTCAAATAACATTTGGTATTCAGAGTACGGTATCAGAAAACTATCCGTAGATTCTCAGCAACTTTGCAACATCTTTAAACCGGTGGGCAGTCCCCAAAAGAAAAATTCACGAAGGTAAAGCTTTATTATGGTCGCTGAACAATCAGAATCAACTCTGCTCGGTCCAGCAATGGAACGTCCAGCTGACCGTTTACAAAGCGTCAGGACCGCGGTTAAGAGGTCCTCGTGTTCATTCTGGTCCATCGGGAAACAGTCGGCTGGATTTGTGCGCGATCATGTGAACATCTCGTCCTCGCGGAAGCATCTACGCGCCGCAAAGACCATCCCGTTGTCGCAAGGGTCTCGTTTCCGGCGTTTTAGAGTAGAACGCAGGCGGAGCCTTGCATCACGTCGGATATGAACATCGGCGCCCCGGCGCCGAGACCGCCGTCAGTCTGCTGGTTCGTGTCGTACTCGCAGTCGAAATAGCGACTCTGCGAACCGTTATCGTTCTTAAATTATGTATTCAAGAGCCCCCCGGAACGGGTTCGTCAAATCATAGTGTGTTTTAAAACGCGGGATCGTAACGGTTGCGAAACTTTTTTAATAGGTTCCGTTAAAACAGTTGGAACCGGAACTTTTATAATAAAAGTTCTCGCATTATAAGTTCCGATGGAAGCAGATAAATAAAAGTTTCCCGGAAACAGGAGTTCGGATTTGAATGAAATTTATGGGAAGTAAAAATCAGAGTTGCGGAATAGGAACGGATAAACAGTTTCTGATCGTTATTGTATCGTGCATGGTATCCCAGTAATCGTAGTAGGGACTAAAATGAAATTCAGATGACCCACCTGGCAATCTAAACATCTGCAATGGTCGCTCATTTTGCAAGTGATGCCCCACTGCTTAGCCATCGCCCTGTAAAATTGCTTGCTCGATTTGTGAAGTATCTTCGGCGCTTTCTTCCTGTTTTCTTGGGCGGACGCTTCGCGCGCGCTGATCTTTTCTTCCTCGTGTTTCTGCGCCTCGGCCGCGTACTCCAAACGCGTCTAAAACGTAGACACATTACTTTCTTCGTTAATCGTTACGTGGGAACAAAACGAATAAATTTTATAATTCTGTTACAAAGTGCATCGGGTTGGCAACCACTGCTTTATAGAATAGAATAATCGACTCCCTGCAATTCGCTTACAAATTTTTACGATCGAACAAATTGACACTGCAGCGAAAGAAATAAAATGGTTTAACTTATTTTGAGCACAATTCCAATGCTACGATCACGACTCGATTTAATTTATAAACGACTCCATTCACGAATGGATCCATGATTTGTATTCGTGAATAGAATTTACCCAAATCTGCCAAACAGGAGTGATGTTGTCGTTCGAACTAGTCCTCGAGGGTATTCGACAAATGCATAAAACGAGTTTTTTATTTGGAATAACCCAGATCTTTACCTGCTCGATAACGTGTTGATACGATGGTGGAGCAGAGCTCGGAATGGCGGGCTCGTTCCTCGGCATGAAGCTGTTGGAAGCAAACACCGACGGCTTTAAATTGGATTCCGGCTCGGTGGCCAATTGCAATTGGTTCACCGGTAGTTGAGCATCCTCCCCCCTCGCGTTGTCCTCCGTATCGTTGTCGTCGTTCATGTTTCTTTCTCTGTTGCCGTCCTTCGTGGCCTCCTTTCCGTTGCCTTCCTCGTTCTCCGCGGTCGCGGTCGTCTCCTTTTCCGTTTCGTTGTCCCCGGCCTCTTTGTCTTTCTCTCTATCCTTCTCCTCGCTGCTGCGCGTCTTCGACATCTTCGAGAACGGAAACTTGAACGGCGCCAGGTCGATCAGATTCTCTTTGTCTTCCTCGTCTGCAACAGAGGGGATTATCGGGCACCGTTTCCCCGCTACGCCGTGCACGCAGGAAATATCGCGTTCATGTACGGCACGTATAGAGAAAACAATGGAACTTTTCTTCGACGACAGTTGCAAACGACACCGAAACAACCCTCTTGCATAATGCGACCTTCGATCGACCTTAGTGTGACTCGTCGCGGCACGGAATTAAAAAGAACAACTAACTTCGTGACTTCATCGATCTCTATGCTGCGATCTTTTTTATCGGTACCGCCATCAGCATTTTTCAAACGTATGAATAGCAATGCATATTTGCCCACTGTTCTTAAAGGGGTAGTTCGGATAGCGATCAGACGTATTAACTCCAAGATCACTTTTCTTTGGAAATTAAAAAATCACAGACAGGGAATCACTCACGCAAAGAGAAACGGAGATTCTCGCATCCAAAGATACGCAGCACTCTTTGAATCGACATCTTGGCTCAACAGCCCACAACCGCCTCGCGCGAGCATCTCAACGACGACCATTAGTCATTGCGAATTCGAACACCCCACTTTCATCGAGGACTAACGAACCAATTGCTGTCTCCTACCTATAACGACCGCTGCACCGACACTGTCATCGCGAACTCTTCTGCAACCACTTATCGTGCAACGCCATAATCCGAAAACATGCCTTTTACGCGCAACTGGACACGTTGACCCCCGTTAATTGGCATTGTATAGCTTGATAGGCGTTTGAAGTTCTACTTATTTCGTGTATATATAGGTATAAATGTTATGGTGTCTATTTTGTGATCGATCAACGTGAATTTCACTTTCATTTCAAGCTTTTTCAAAATAAATTAGCACCGTAATAGTTTTTATAATTTTTGCAAATCACGAATGCAATTTTCAGTTTATCTATAACATAGAGAGAATAAAATACGTTTAATCTTGCGCGTGTCTTTAGAAATAAATTAAACCGTTTATTTTGTCCCGGACAGTAATGGCCGCGATCTACATTACTCCGAGGTGGGGTTTCCCGTCCACTGGGAAATGCTAATCGCAAGTTAACGTCTGCCGTGTAGATACGGAAACAGTCAGTGAACATCGGTGCAATAAAATTTAGAATATGCAGGCGGTTATGACGGACACGTAGCTGAATAGCTCCTTAATCCCCCCGGTCAGGCGGTTTCTGACGTCATGCATACAATAAGCGACCGAACAATAAGATTCTGAGGACGGAACGTTGACAGCGACTCGCAACTTCGTTCTCGCGACAGTTGCGATGCAATCTGCATCCAATGCAACACCGTTTCTGATCGAATTCCTAGTACCCGGTGGCTATTTTAAAGTTTCATCGAGAGTCGAGGGATTGGAAATAAAAACACTTTCAAAAGTAGAAGAATCGTGTTCGAATAAATATTAATACATAATTTCTTTCGTAACTTTAACACGTTCAGATCAGAACCTTATAATATTCTGCTGGACTAAAATTTTGATTTTAGACTATTGTAAAGTAATCTTCTTCTTGCTAGTTCCATAGTGGTAAATATGTCACCCATATATGGGTCACGTGGCAGTCAAAGTGTTGAAATAAATGGGGTTCGAAAGGGTTTGCGACGACAGTTCCCGCGCTCATCACCAGAGGACTACGCTCTTGTCACTCTTGCAAACGCTCGACCAACAGTCTACGATAGTAATTGTTTTTTCACCCCACAGCAAGCCACCACAAGGTTAAAACACAGGAAGGTTACATTAAAATCCTAAAAGTTCCCCATTTAAACCGTGCAACGGTCACATCTACTCCAATCTCAGTTACAATCAATATCAATGGATATCCGCGAGCAGTTTCAATTGTGCACGGGACCACCCTCTACGGTTATAATATAATACAAACTCATCAAGGGGGAGAATCGATTTGAAACTCCCGGTGGGATGACCTAGAAATCTTGAAAAATCTAAGCCGACACGCAAAATCTGACGGGCTCCTTTTCAACCGGCGGTGCGCTCGTCCGAACCAATTCCCCAGCCAGAATCAATATTTACGGTGTTACGAGGGTGGATTCAGTTGCACGGACCAGTGCATTACGATATATTATAAGCTCGGAGGAGAGCAACTAACGTCAACAGGAACCAAGTGAAAAAAAAGGGGGAGAAATACAACCGGAGTTAGAAAATCCGGCTGGAAACGGAAACGATAAAAGGGAGAATCATGGAGCAGAAAGGTTGAGGGGGGGGGGAGATGGGGTGGATGTTGGAGGGTGGAAGGGAAAAGTAGTTCGTTCCCGCGGAAAGGAGGTGTGTCCTCGGTGCGAGTGCACCCGGAGCTTCATCTGTCGTTGACCCAGTGGCCGAGTTTCGGTGTTATCGGTCGACCTAACGCAGCTGCGGCTGACTTTAAAGCCACCGACTCCTCCAGGAGAATCTAAGCTGACCGACACGCGTGATCGTCCACGGATTCGTCGATCTCTAACCCGGGAATTAGCGTCTCGGTATAATCCCGGGTTCATTTACGGTGATCGATATCGAACGCGTCCCTCGGCGCGAGTTCGAGCCGGAGACGCGACCTATCTCGATCTGCCATGGCGTCTTAATTGTTTTGGATATCTGCCCCCGGTGAATCCTGGCGAGAGTTTCGCTACCCCGGGCACGTCCCACTGAGCACGAAATGTAAAATCGAGACGCTGCTCCCGAACTGTATTCCCGGTTTCTCGAGGGATTCTAATCCGAGTGCTCCATCGCTAATCGTTCAACCCTTTGGTGCACGAATTTTTCTCCAACTCCTTCGGAGTTTACGAATCGAACGTCGAAAGTATGGAAATCGGGTTCTTTAAAAATTCGTACGAAGTTTGATATCGAGTTTTAACGAGACAGGTTTGAGAATAAACATTTTTGCATCCCCCATTTTTAATCTGGTAGTACTTTCAACTCCGTATTCGTAATCAGCGACCCAGAAAACCTTGGAGAGTTTCGAGCGAATCTGGCCGATTTTAAATATTCCGTCTGTCATATTCGACCCGCCATTTTGAATTTTGTGTTTTCAACACCGGAACCAGTGACCGAAAAAACCTGGAGTACTGAGTTTTGTGTATAGGTTATGTAATGTTTCGAGTAAACGAATTTTGTATTAGTATTTGTGATGGGAGATAGCAAGATCTTTATACAAAATTTCGATGAATATGAAAAAACCTATTCTTTCTTGAAAGGATATTAAATAAGAAAAATACTATTTGAAAAAATTATCATTTATGGGATTAGAACATTTTACCTGAAATATGCAATAATAAACGCGGAAGGTACGAATGTTTTATTGCTCAAAAAATCCCTCTTTCAGTCGATCCTGTCTCTCTATTCGTTCGAACAATGGCTGGTTTATCGTATCGAATTTAAAACAAGTTCTGATGAAAAGGTTCGGAACATTTTATTTTTCGATACCTAGCCCTTGAACTTCGATCCATTTTATCCTGTCTGAATAGTTTTTTTCGAGGCAGATCTAGATCATGATTGAAAAATTTGCCAAATCTTGAACAATAATAAAACAAAAGCTTATTCGAACGAAAGATTCTATTTCCTAAATTCCACATTTACATGTTCGATGAAAGTCTGATCGTAACATACGTATAATGTGCACCTGTAATTAATTCGAACAGCAGAAACTTGCGCTATCGCGATGCAAAGTTTGCCCTGTGCTTCGACCTACGGCCCCCTTGGCAAATAGTTTTTGATGTACAACATCGCCCTATCGACCTTGTAATGGTTCCAGTCGTGGTTAACGTTTGCTCGCGCAACGAATAAACACAAATTCTCCGAGGAAATATTTCCTCCGTAAGATATTTCTCGATACAAACAGGGCAGAAATCAAGCACCGGGTGCTTGTTCCGCGAAACTTCCAATGTACAGACATCGCTAATATTTACTTAGGAAAGGTCAGATGGGTGTAAGCGAACCACCTTATACGCGAGAACTTCGTCGGAACACGCGGAACGGTTCAGCCATCGAGAGCGTTAAGAAACTAATTTTCCCCGCCGCGTGCATAAAATATTTATTCGAACTTTTTCGACGCGGCCTGGCCGAGCCGCGAAATGGGAATTCTTCTCTGTCAGCTTTCTCGAAATGCACGCTGAACTGCGTGGAACAACGCGGGACGCATTCACGCGGAAGCGTCATTCAAAGTGGCAGGTTTAATGCGATATCTTGCATTCCTTCGCGGCGAACGGGAAGAAGATTGCTTGAAATTCTTCTACCCGTACGTTAAAAATATTTTACCTTGAAAGCTCGATTAACCGCGAGCTGCTGACAATGTAGCCCCCGGACCGCACGTCGTCCTTTTTAATGGAACGGGAATGCAATCATAGAAAGAGAGTAGCAGGAAACATAGGAAGCGGCTGCTGTTATCGACAATAGCGCAATTAGGTAGAATACTTGGCGTGGGCGAGGCGAAACCGAGCCTGCAGCTCGCTACGGAAACGCTCGGAAACCGGGAAATTGTTGTCGGTGGTTTGTAGATGCGCGCCTTTAAATTTTGCCACGCTCCAAAGTTTACCGAGAGCGTTCAAATTACATATCCGTCCGTTCGAGTTATTTGCATTGCATTTTACTTTCTAACCCCGTCTTCGTTCCGAAATTTACATCGCGGGAAGTTAAGTTCTTTGCTGGCAGAAATTTCTGGCGCTTTCGAATTTTGTTGGGGCGATAATTCGTCGATGTATCGACTAGTAGAACGAAAATGGTATTAAACGATAGAAAGAATTGTTCAAAATTTAAGTCAAAATTAAAAAACCTTTTTAATCGCTATATTACTGTTGTAAATACGCCAGAGTGTGATATTGTACTCCACTATGGCAAACAATTTGAAATATATTATATCAAAATTTTAATTTGTTTCAAATCCAGAATTTGAATTGAATAAAAACTTTTGGACCGTATTTAAAAGCAAATGGATGTAATAACAGTAGTGGTATTCCGAAATACAACGAAAAATTATGTATTAAATGAGACAAAACGAGCTCGAGCCATTGTCGAAGCTAAAA